ACTACATTATTATCAGCATATTTGAGTTCTATAACAGATATATATTATACTTTGGTTCCCACCAAACTTGGCTGGTGCAGCTACACTGTGGAATTAATGCAGTTTGGCCAGCCAGGCTAGATGCTAGGGAATTATCGGAGTTGTTGTTTGGCGAGTACCAGTACCATTTGACATAGGAGGCTGAAGATCTAATAAAACTCTAATGAGTTCATAGCATTGAGCCATAGCAGCTAGGGTCTCTTCCAACATGGGCTGCATCTATATTATAAAATCAATGCAGTTTATTCATTTTACAATGTAGATGCACCCCTAAGAATGTGTTAGCCTAGCCTTACTTCTGGAACAATGGCCACAAAAATCTCTTCACTTAGACTGGATGGCCATCTGTTAGGAGTGCTTTGATTGAGAATTTCCTGCATAGTAGGAGGTTGGACTGGATGTCCTCTATGGTTCTACTATATATCTAGCACTTGGCGCATCTTCAAGTGTATGAATACCACTTTGCAAAGTGGCATTCACAAGGTGATGTTCTCAATTGTTCAGTGACACCTCTTTCTCTCTCTCTCTCTCTTTCTTTCTTTGTTTATGTATTTAATTAACGTATATCCTGCCTTTCTTCCCAATGGGACCCAAGGCAGCGCATAACTTGCGTTAGAACAAAGTGCGTGAATTAAAACCTAGTAATAAAAAAGTTTTTTTTTTAAAAAAAAGCTGCTATATTAAAATCCTAATGCTTGAAAACAATATCAAAGCATTTAATTGCCGTCTCGTAAGGCAATGCTTTTTAAATCTTTTTGGATGGGAAAGACCTGCAGGGATTCGCACTGTGTTTGTTTCCATTGGCTATAGTTTCTTTTTCTCCTGGAAATTTGCTTCCGAACGGCAGCCAATGGCTCACGGACCACAGCGGCCCATGGAACACTGCCTTTGTTGCACTGTTTTAAATAAATGCAGTAATGGTCATTCCACAGATAAATAAACCCCTTTTTTCCCAGTCCCAGCAGACCTCACCTCTGAGGATGCTTGCCATAGATGCAGGCGAAACGTCAGGAGAAATGCCTCTAGAACATGGCCATATAGCCCGAAAAAACCCACAAGAACTGAGTGATTCCAGCCATGAAAGCCTTCGACAATATAAAATGCAGTAATATTTGAGTCTCGGCAGCAATGTTTCGAAACATACAACCAAGTTGAGATGTTCAATGTGTTGTAGAAGACTTTCATGGCCAGAATCACTGGGTTGCTGTGAGTTTTCCAGGCTGTCTGGCCATGTTCCAGAAGCATTCTCTCCTGATGCTTCCCCCACATCTATGGCAGGCATCCTCAGAAATGGTGAGGTCTGTTGAAAACTAGGCACGTGAGGTTTATATATCAGTAAAATGTCCAGGGTGGAAGAAAGAAATCTTGTCTGTTTGAAGCAAGTGTGAATGTTGCAATTGGCCACCTTGATTAGCATTGAATGGCCTTGCAGCTTCAAAGCCTGGCTGCTTCCTGCCTGGGGGAATTCTTTGTTGGGAAGTGTTAGCTGTTATCTTTTTATGGCCTTTCCATGCACTGCCTCATTCTCATCTAGGAAGACGCATCTATCAGGAGGGACACATCCAGGCCATATCTATCTGTGCCATACTTGAGTTGTTACCATCACCATAACATTTATTTGTGTTTGTCTTTTTTGTGATTGAGACGCAAAGTGGTTGTGTCACTCATTTAAAAAAAACAAAACAATTTCCCTCAATGGTAGGGAAAAAATAAGGAAAATTGGGTTCTTTAAAATTAGTTTCTTTAATTGGTTTCATGGCCCCTTGGTGGTGCAGTGGGTTAAACTGCTGAGCTGCTAAACTTGCTGACCAAAAGGTCAGCAGTTCAAATCCGGGGAGCGAGGTGAGCTCTCGCTGTTAGCCCCAGCTTTTGTCAACCTAGTAGCTCGAAAACATGGAAATGTGAGTAGATCAATAGGTCCTGTTTCTGCGAGAAGGTAACAGTGCTACTTGCAGTCATGCTGGCCACATGACCTTGGAGGTGTCTATGGACAACGCCGGCTCTTCGGATTAGAAATGGAGATGAGCACCACCCCCCAGAGTTGGACATGACTAGACTTAATGTCAGGGGAAACCTTTACCTTTACCGTAAGTCTTTCACATGCTGCAATTGTGAACAACTTTGCCAATCCAGCTATTTGCTGTGATTATTAATAGTTATATTGAAGACCAGTATACAAAGACTCCTTCTGCCTTTTTATGGTGTGTCGGTCTCCTTTTTCTATCTATCTATCTGCCTTGCTTTTTTCTTCTTCTGACAGTTCTTTACATTGGCCTTTGCTTCAGTTCTGATGAAAGGTATTCCAGTTATGGAGATAATTGGACAGCTTTTGATGGTCAAGCCTAACACCTGCATGTCTCCCCCTCTTTCTCTTCTTTCTTTCTTTCCTTTCTGTGCTAAAACAGAGGTGTAAATTGACAACCCAAGCTCAGGTTTTGCAGCTTTTAAATGTTTGACATGAAGTGGGGAATGAGCATCATACGTTTCAGCTGTTAGATGTGGCAGAGTCACACTTTGCCAGAGGATTGACTTTGTTAAGTCACAAAAGCCACCAGAGGTACCCGAAAATACAACTATTCAGTAGAAAGGTAGAACTGACCATTTCTGTATAGTACAATAGAAAAAATGCATGCCACAATTTTGGCTGGGTCTTAGTGATCTATCTATATAAATAAAAATGTAATATTCATTTGTGGGATTAACATAACTAAAAAACCACTGGACAAATTGACGCGAAATTTGGACACAATACATCTATCAGGCCAACGAATGACCATCACTCATAAAAACACTGAAAATACAGCAGAAGAGACTTAAAAAGCCAAAAAGCCAAAAAAATACATTACAACGCATGCACAAAACCACATATGTACACAAACACACATATATACACATATACACAATATATACAGAAATATATACAAACATATATGCACACGCAAAACACATACACAGAAAGGGGGAAGGGAGGGAGGGAGGAGAGAAGGAGGGAGAGAAAGAGAGAAGGAAAGAAAGAAAGGTAGAGAAGGAAGGAAGGAGAGAAGGAAATTAAGTGAAAGAGGGAGGGAAGGAGAAAGAGGGAGGGAAGGATAGAGATAAGGAAGGATGGAACCAAAGAGTAAGGAAGCAAGAAAAGAAACAGGTAGAGAAGGAAGAAAGAAGAAGGGAAAGAAAAAGAGGGAAGGAAGGAGAGAAAGAAAGAAGGAGAGAAAGTGGGAGGGAAGATTGGCCACAGCAACGCCTGGTGGGTACAGCTAGTCTATATATAAAAGACAGTGTATGCTTGTCTGTCTGTTTGTCTGTATGTATGTTTGCACCACAAAAACTTTTGCTAGGTGAAGTGGCCTTCTGTGATGTCACTGGGGAAAAAAGGTGACATGTGTATGAGGAAAAGGAAGGAATGAAGGAAAGAAAGAAAGAGAAAAAGAATGAATGGAAAAGAAAGGGGAAAGAAAGAAAGGAAAAGGAGGAGAGGAAGGAAGGAAGAAAAAGAAAAGGGGGAAGGTATGAGGGGAGGAAAGGAAGAGAAAGGTGGACAGTAGTCCCACCACCAGCCAAGCAACGCTGGAGATATAAATGTGTGGTGTGTGTGTGTGTGTGTGTTAGGCGATCCCACGTTGTCGGAGTCTGATGGGTTTCCACATGTAGTGTCTTGGCGGTCTATATGTAGGTGACTGTGGAGCCCTCTTCTTTGATCTGCATGTTCTTCCACAGTGAATGCATCATTTTCCAGGTGGAAAGCAATCTGACAAGGCTTGGCTTGATGCATCTTCTTCCTCTTGACGCCTTTCTCCCTTTTGCCCCCCATTTGTACCTCTTTGAATTCTGCAGCACTGCTGGTCACAGCTGACCTCCAGTTAGAGCGCTCAAGGGCCAGGGCTTCTCAGTTCTCTCTCGGTGTCTATGCCACAGTTTTTAAGGTTGACTTTAAGCCCATCGTTCAATCTCTTTTCCTGTCCACCAATATTGCATTTTCTATTCTTGAGTTGGGAATAGAGTAACTACTTTGGGAGACGGTGATGGGGTATTTGGACAATGTGGCATTCAGTCCAGTGAAGTTGATGGCATAGGAGCATCGCTTCAATGCTGGTGGTCTTTGCTTCTTCCAGCATACTGACATTTGTCCACCTGTCTTCCCAAGAGATTTGTAGGATTTTTCGGAGGCAGCGCTGATGGAATCGTTCCAGGAGTTGAGTGTGATGTCTGTAGACAGTCCAAGTTTCGCAGGTGTATAGCAGGCTTAGGAGGACAATGGCTTTATAAACAAGCACCTTGGTCTCCCTATGGATGTCCCGATCCTCAAACACTCTCTGCTTCGTTTGTAAAAATGCTGCACCTGCAGAGCTCAGGTAGTGTTGTATTTCAGTGTCAATGTTGACTTTTGTGGAGAGGTGGCTGCCAAGGTAGCAGAAATGGTCAATATTTTCTAATGTTACACCATTAAGCTGTATTTTTGGCATTGGAGAGGGATTGGCTGGTGACTGCTGGAAAAGCACTTTGGTTTTCTCGATGTTCAGTGAGGAGCCGAGCTTCTCGTATGCTTATGCAAAGGTATTTAGAGTGGCTTGTAGGTCTTCTTCTGAATCCCTTAGTCATTTTATAAATATCAACCATACATTTTCAAAGCATAAGCAACTGAATACTCACCAGCTTCATACAGGAGAGCTTGTGTTTGTGTATCTGTGTGATTATTTTTTTTAGAACAGTCAGACAGCACAGAATGTTGATTGCATTTTAATTAAGTCTCTTTTAATTTACTTTAATTGCTGCCAATCAACAATGGTGTCTGGATGTTCCTAAGTGGTAAAATCTGAGCTTGAACCAAGGTTGTTTTGTTTTTGTTTTTGTAATTAAACATTAATGAATTTGTTGCAGAAATATTGTTTCTGATACATAGCCGCTGATACATAAGCAGAACGTTAACAGCTCAAGGAAAGAGCTTTCTTCTCCTCTCTTCACAGGCTCCAACTCAGAAAGTAGCCAAAGGAGTTACTGTTAGCAGTCTCCCAGTTGCCCCGGCCTCCTTCCACTTGAATAAAGTGTGCTCCCTCTTGCCTGTCTCCGAAATGGATTCAGAGAAAGGTCAGTCGGTCCCAACAGCTTAGTGTTCCTTATTTCATCATATTTGACTTATATACAGCACGCCCTTCACATCTGCAAGTTTGACTTTTGTGGATTTGACGATTCACAAGACATGAGCCTTCTAGGAATCTTTAGGTCCCCCTTCAAGCTGTTTCCTAGAATCATATAATAGACTCATAGAGTTGGAAGAGACCTCATGGGCCATCCAATCCAACCCCCTGCCAAGAAGCAGGAAAATTGCATTCAAAGCACCCCTGACAGATGGCCATCCAGCCTCTGTTTAAAAGCTTCCAAAGAAGGAGTTTCCACCACACTCCGGGGTATAGAGTTCCACTGTTGAACATCTCTCGCAGTCAGAAAGTTCTTCCTAATGTTCAGATAGAATCTCCTTTCTTGAAATTTGAAGCCATTGTTCTGCGTCCTATTCTCCAGGGCAGCAGAAAACAAGCTTGCTCCCTCCTCCCTATGACTTCCTCTCACGTATTTATGCATGGCTATCATGTCTCCTCTCAGCCTTCTCTTCTTCTTTAAGCCGCTCATCATAGGGCTTGTTCTCCAGACCCCTGATCATTTTAGTCGCCCTCCTCTGGACACATTCCAGCTTGTCAATATCTCTCTTCAGTTGTGGTGCCCAGAATTGGACACAATATTCCAGGTGTGGTCTAACTCAGGCAGAATAGAGGGGTAGCATGACTTCCCTGGATCTAGACACTATACTCCTATTGATGCAGGCCCAAATCCCATTGGCTTTTTTTGCTGCCACATCACATTGTTGGCTCATGTTTAACTTGTTGTCCACTAGGACTCCAAGATCTTTTTCACACGTACTGCTCTCGATCCAGGCATTGTCCCCCATTCTGTATCTTTGCATTTTGTTTTTTCTGCCAAAGTGGAGTAACTTGCATTTGTCACTGTTGAACTTCATTTTGTTAGTTTTGACCAATCATCTCTCCAATCTGTTAAGATCATGTTGAATTCTGCTCCTGTCTTCTGGAGTATTGGCTATCCTTCCCAATTTGGTGTCATCTGCAAACTTGATGATCATGCCTTCTAATCCTTCACCTAAGTCATTAATAAAGATGTTGAACAGGACCGGGCCCAGGACGGAACCTTGCTTATGGCACTCTGCTCGCCACTTCTTTCCAGGATGAAGAGGAAGCTTTCTGCTTCCCTGGAGACTAGGACGCGGAACAATGGCTTCAAACTACAAGAGAGGAGATTCCATCTGAACATGAGGAAGAACTTCCTGACTGTGAGAGCCATTCAGCAGTGGAACTCTCTGCCCCGGAGTGTGGTGGAGGCTCCTTCTTTGGAAGCTTTTAAACAGAGGCTGGATGGCCATCTGTCAGGGGTGATTTGAATGCAATATTCCTGCTTCTTGGCAGGGGGTTGGACTGGATGGCCCATGAGGTCTCTTCCAACTCTTTGATTCTATGATTCTATGATTCTGTGAAGCATTGGTGAGCACCCTCTGGGTTTGATCGAACAATAAGAGAAAGGGAACCCATAGAGAAGAGAAATTACTTTGCTATCCATGTGACCTTTCCTCCCTATCTTCGTCTATTTCATGCTTACGAAAGAGAAAATACGTTGGTTTCAGAAATGTGGAAGAGCTGGGTATGTTTAGCCTGCAGAAGAGAGGGTTTAGCGGAGACATGAGAGCCCTGTTTCAATATTTGAAAGGATATAATAAGGAAGAGGGAGCAGGCTTACTTTTTGCTGCCCTGGAGACTGGGAGTCATAAGAAGAGCTGCTCAGCAGTGGAACTCACTGCCTCGGAGTGTGGAGGAGGCTTTGGGCTTCCCTTGGTAGGGCTTTGGTCGTGCTTTTCCTGCCTGGCAGAAGGGTGTTGGACTAGATGGCCTTTGGGGTTCCCTTCCAACTATATGATACTATGTTCTTTGCAAAAAGAGACCACAGACATAGTGGGATAGTGGGATAGGTTTAGAATGAGGAGTTCTACTCCTCCCAATTGAAGCTTAATTTGAAACAAGTCACTGTTCCAGGATGTGAATCACAGGCCTATTTGGTATGTTTTTATTATGCGCTGACCTATATTATCTCAACTATGTCTGAATATGATATGGTTTTGTTATTATGAAAAGGGCGGGTTAAAGTTGCTGAACTTGCTGACCGAAAGGTTGGCAGTTCGAATCCATGGAGTGGGCTGAGCTCCTGCTGTTAGGCCCAGCTTCTGCCAAACTATTGGTTTGAAAATATGCAAATGTGAGTAGATCAATAGGTACTGCTTCTGCGGGAAGGTAATGGTGCTCCATGCAGTCATGCTGGCCACTTGATCTAGGAGGCGTCTACAGACAACGCTGGCTCTTTGGCTTAGAAATAGAAAGGACCCCCCCCCCCCCCCCCGGTGTCAGACATGACTAGACTTGGGGAAATCTTTAACTTTGCCTTTACTTTGTACTTATGGCTCCATATTTTGAACCAATTTACTGAATGTTGCTGGGGTTTTGTTTTTTGTCTAGGCATCTTGAGTCTAGTTGAAAGGGGCCTGATCCCTCGTGCCGCTCGGATTACTCTCGAGAAGCCTCCGGTTCTTCCCAGACCCGTTCCTCTTCATGAATTTCACACAAAGTATCAAAGAATGGGTGCCGGTAAGGAGGAAACTAGAGGTGCTGATAATCCCATCAAAAACATGCATCACTCGGTCATTCCTGTTTGTGTCCCCAAATTTGGAAGGGGTAGTGATGTTCTTGAGTCTTCACAGACATGGCAACAGATAATTCTTTCCTCTTCCAGTGCTTTTGTATAGTTATAGCTGATGTGGGTAACACCATAGGTCAGCCAACAGGTCTAGCATTGGCCAGGGTTATCTTCCAAGACTGAAGATCTGAGGTCTGATGGTTTAAGGCGCTGACTTTTGGATAAGAAAATATTAAACAATACCTTTCATCCCTTCTATAGATAGAAGTGTGGACAGCAAGAAGGCGGGTGGGGCAGCTTATTTGTCTGAAGACCCAGCCCGCACTTCCAGTTTTGCAAGCAAAGATAGCAAAGAGAAGGGCAACATTGCCCCACCTCCATCCTGCATCTCAGTCATTCCTTTCAAGAAGTCCAGGGAGCGACTGGGACAGATACCAAAGCAGGAGTCGTCCACTTCTTCTGCCTTGCTGCCAAAGGTACATCAGCACCATTGAGTAGGATTTCCATTCCATTAGAGATAAAGAACATGTTTCACTGTTGGGAAATTATTTCATTCTGCAGTTCCGAAATGTCAAGGCACAGGGAAGGTCCACATAGAGCTGAAAATGTCACATTCTGACCTCAGCAACTTCTCCCAATGGAGAAATGCCATTCCTTTATCTCTTCCCATGATAACACTATCTAACACAATGTTTGGTCCTGGGTTGTAAATGTTGTTTTATAATTGGTTCTATCATAAAAATATTAGGAAAGTGTAACAAACCCCCAAAACTTTATTTTTGCAGGACATTCTGCAACACATTTTATTATAGTTTTTCAATGAATATCTCATTGAGTCTCAGCAATTCAACACAGAGCCCTTCCACACAACCATATAAGCCACAATATTAAGGCAGATAATCCATAATATCTGCTTTGAACTGGGTTATCTGAGTCGACACTGCCATATAAACCATCTCAAAGCAGATCATGAATTATATACAGCTGTGTGGAAGGGGACACAGTTTGTGGCAGCCACAAAAATAAAGTTTCTGGAGTATAACAACTACTTTCAAAGTAAGGACTGCACAATTAAACATGAATAACACTTTCAAACCAGGAACAGACAATTTTTCAAATAAGTTGCTGTGAGTTTTCCAGGCTGTATAACCATGTTCCAGAAGCATTCTCTCCTGACATTTCACCCACATCTATGGCAGGCACCGTCAGAGGTTGTGAGGTTTGTTGGAAACAAGGCAAGTGAGGTTTATATATCTGTGGAATGTCCAGGGCGGGAGAAAGAACAAATGCTCAATTCAGCAAAGGACAAGAGGGATCCTCTCACCTCTGCAGGAGTCTACCATATACCATGCAGCTGTGGACAAGTCTACATAGGGACCACCAAACGCAGCAGCATTGCCCAGATATGAATCAAGGAACATGAAAGGCACTGCAGACTCATTCAACCAGAGAAGTCAGCCATTCCAAAGCACCTGATGAACCAACCTGGACACAGAGTATTATCTGAGAACACAGAAATGCTGGACCGTTGTAACGACCACTATGTCAGACTACACAAGAGAAGCCACTGAATTCCACAAGCATGTGGACAACTTCAACAGAAAAGAGGAAACCTTGAAAATGAATAGTATCTGCCTCCCAGTATTAAAAAAATTCCAAAATCAGGACAGTAAAGAAAGAGCAACACTCAAAAACAGAGGAATTCCAGACAAGAAACAATCAGGGCCAGCTAACACCTCCCAACAAAGGATTCCCCCAGGCAGGAACCAGCCAAGCCTTGAAACTGCAAGGCTTTTCCGTGCTAATCAAGGTGATCAATTGTAACATTCACACCTGCCTCAAGCAGACAAGAGTTCTTTCTCCCACCCTGGATATGATTCCACAGATATATAAACCCCACTTGTCTTGTTTCCAACAAACTTCACAACCTTTGAGGATGCCTGCCATAAATGTGGGTGAAACATCAGGAGAGAATGCTTCTGAACATGGCTATACAGCTATACAGTCTGGAAAATTCACAACATCCTATTGAAAAATTGATTGCGGCCATGAAAGCCTTCAACAACACATTTCTTTCAAATTTTTGTTACATAGTGTAATTTTTTGGTTCTGATTTGGGCTGGGGATCCTTGGCCTCCAGGTGATATTGGAACCCAACTACCGTCAGTCCTAGTTAGTATGAGATGATGCGAACTGTAGCTCTGCATCATCAGAAGGGCCATGGGTTGCCCACTTTAAAATCCAAGGTAATAACTGGGGAGCATTTTTGCCATAGCTTAATTGTTTTCATGAAGAGACTCTTCCATTTCCCTTCTCTTTCTGTAGGCCTCTGGGATTACGCTGGCCAGGTCATTCCACAAAGTAGTGTCGGAGTTTGACATACCGGTCCACAATGGGATCCTAGACTACGCCTCTTCCGACCTCCAAGCGTTTAAACGGCACTGCTGCCTATTCTGGGGAGATATCTTTTCCTTCCTGGAAAACGTGGCCAACCTCCTCAAGGATTACGCCGTGCCCTATGCGATCATCAAGGGACGGAAAGTGATGGAGATCGTCCCAGACTTTGAACTGAACCAGAGTCCAACCAGGGAGGACCTTCTCTCAGTAATAAGGGATGCCTTGGCCATCAGAAAGCTCCTGGGCCGCCCTGGCCAGAGGTACAAGGGCCGAAAGGGACTTCAGGCGGCGGCCACCAAGATCCAGGCCACATGGAGAGGTCACAAGCTGCGGAAGGCCTACATCCAGTTCCGGCAGCACCAGTGGGCCACCGGAGTGATTGCCATCCCATGGCTCATCCACATTCACATGCGCCGCGTCAGGAAGATCCTGAAGGAAGCACGACAGAGGCACCTGGAGAATTTCTACATCAGGGGCAAGGTGCGCAACATCGCCAGCTGTTTTGGCAGGACTCCTTTCCTCACCATCCCTTGCGGTAAAACCTTATTCTCCCCTTCCTTTTAACCATACACTGTTCCAAGTGAATTTCACATTTCATTAAGCTTTCAGTCTTTCGTGACTTCCAACTTCCCCCACTCTGAAAAGAGAACATTCCTTGCAGCTCTTCTACTACTTTTTGTCGCTGTGCATCATTCTTATGCTTCTAGTTGAGTCACTGGAAAAATATCAAGTATTTTAAATTCAGAACCGGTGCTTCGATTAGTGAAAAGATTCTGAGTTCACCTTACAAAGGACAGTTCCTGCTCGCTCATGTTTACGATCTGATAGACACAACAGAAAAAGGGGAAGGATGGAGATGGGGAGAAGAAGGTAAAGAAGTCCATCAAGCAGCATAGTATTGCTGTTGAAAATAATAATAATAATAATAATAATAATAATAATAATAATAATAATTGCAAAGACTCTGTCACAAGCCAGTAAATGTGGTCCCAGTGGTGATCGGCACACTGGGTGCAGTGCCTAAAGACCTTGGCCTGCACTTAAACACAATCAGCGCTGACAAAATTACCATCTGTCAGCTGCAGAAGGCCACCTTACTGGGATCTGCATGCATTATTCGCCGATACATCACACAGTCCTAGACACTTGGGAAGTGTCCGACCTGTGATCCAATACAACAGCCAGTAGAGGGATCTTGTCTGCTGTGTACTCATCTTGTTGTGTTCCAAATTATTATTATTATTATTATTATTATTATTATTATTATTATTATTATTAATACCCTGCCACCATCTCCCCAAAGGAGACTCCAGGCAACTAACATGAGGCCATGCCCAAAAGTTACAATACAGCAAAGTGAAATACAACAAACAAGTAATAACATCAATATAAAATGCAAACAAGAACAAGTATACAATACGCAAATGGCAACCTATTGATAGGAAAATGAGTCATGTTGCATCTTCATGCCCAGAGATTGGGGAAGTTTACTTTTTGGACTGTTTCTTTCAGGTAGTGCAGCCACTGTGTTGCCTTGGGAATTCTGGGGACCATAGTCCAAAGAAGTAGCTGTTTTATGCTCTTGTCTACACTTCCTGTTGCTCTCCCATACATTCGTGGGATGGGTTAGGGCAAAGCATTTTGAGACGGGATCAATATGACTTTTGCTAAAGGCTCCTAGGACTCTATCGCACAAGGCAGCCCAGGCAGCCAAACCAGGCTCCCCAGCTGGTCCCTCAATTTTGCTTTGAATCTCATGTTTGGTAATTTAAAAAATGAAGGAGAGAAAAAAGCATTTTTAACAAGCAGCATCAACAACCGCTTTAGCAGATCAGAAGCTTCTTGGGAATAGCAATTGAGTAAATGAGCTGCAGCAATTATAGGAGCAGAGTCAAGTTTTAAAAGTTGAAACAATTGAAATAATTATATTTTATATAGGATACGGCCTATAGATAGGGCCTGTCTATCTATCTACAGACATGTTGTCCCTCTGCTCCTGGGAGTAGAACAGAAAGAAGGCTCAGAGGCTGACCATGTGATCAGAAACTTGAATAAAGGGATGTTCCTGAGAAGAATCAGTATAAAATCACAAAGAAATAGAAGGAGAGATGAGAGAGGCAGCCAGCAAAGAGGGCAAAAGGGAAGAGCTTTCCCTGGCAATTAACTCATCTGTCTATTTCCTTGATGATGTTGTACTCCAGGGCTGGGGACACCTCTGTGCTTAACGCCACACTCTAGTCCAAGTAAAATCAGCAAAGCAGATTATTATTATTATTTCGTATCAAAAGCATTGCATAAAAAATAAAAAGCTGTTTATTGAAGAATATATATTAAAAGCAGTTCAGCAAAATAGTATAAAAAACCAACATCTAAATGGAAGAAATAGTCCACAAAATTCAAGGTATAAGAGTAGCATCAAAAACCAGGAACACAAAAGCAGAATATATCCAAAACACAAGATTCAGGAACAACCTTTGAAACTTGGAAGCATGGAACATGAGCAACAGGAAGCATGGAAGTAGAAATCCCTTAGCAGGCTTGACTTGGCAAGAGATATATCCTCAAACATCAACGTTGACCAGACTGTTGGCAAACCTCCCGGCTCCCCTAATATACCCCAAAAAATCATGTCTTTTCACATGAGATTCATATATAGGCCTCTTTTCTAAAAACGCTGTGACCTTCGTATTCTTTGTTAATTAACCCAAAGTCTACTAAAACTAGGTCTCCAATCAACAAACTCATTATCATGATCTTGAAGCTCATTATTCTCGAAGCCTGGAGTTTCAGCCTCTGAACGCCTTTCGCTAGAGATCGGCTCCACTGCATCTTCTAGAATGTGGCCTTGACTAGTTGGAGACACAGACTGCTCAGTTTCAGGACTTAAAATCTCAGGCACATAATCCCCATTCTCAGGCCCAGATTTCCCATTAACAGTAATATTAGACACCACCAGGGGCTGAACTACAGCAGATGAGGACTATAAACTTGGGCAGGATGTGGTTGAGGTCCAACATCCCAAGACCATGTGCATCTCATTGCTCGTCCTCATTATTATCCTATCCCTAGCTATTAACAGATAAAACCCATTAATAGCTCGTAACATTCCTCTCGCCTCCCATTTTCTTTTTATTTCGTACTACCTGTACCCACCACACATTGCTGTGGCCAACCTTTCCTCCCTCTTTCTATCCTTCTTTCTTTCTCTCTTTCCTTCCTTCCTTTCTTCCCTTTTTTTCTTTCCTTCTATACTTCTTTCCTTCTCTTCCTTTTCCCTTCATTCCCCTCCTTTTTCTTTCCCTTTTCTTTCTCTCCTTTTTTCCTTCTCTACCTATTCTCTACTAAATTGATCAGGAGGACTCCCAGCAGTCCTCCTGATCAATTTATCTACCTACCTATCACTATCTAAACTATCTATCTTATCTATCTGGAAGATTGTTGGGAGTTGCAGTCAAGGAATAGGAAATTGGAAATATGCAGGGATTGGGATGCTCTCAAAGAAATCCAAAGAGAAGAAAGCTTGCAACTTGGAAGCAGTGTATTTGGATCATCCTCCTTTCCAAAAGGGACTGGTCTAGGGAATGCTGGGAGCTGTAGTCCAGAAGAGAGTGTGGATATGCTATTGTGTGTTTTGTTTGCCAGGGAGAGTTGTTTTTGTACATGCGCCGTAGTGTCTTTTTGCTTTTTTGGCTTTTTCAATCCCTTCTGCTATGTTTTTCAGTGTTTTATGTGTGACGGTCACTCTTTGGCCTGATAGGTATTGTGTCCAAATTTGGTGTCAATTCATCCAGTGGATTTTGAGTTAATCCTACAAACGAACATTACATTTTTATTTATATAGATTTTCTTGCTCTGGGTTGTTGTAGGTTTTTTTCGGGCTATATGGCCATGTTCTAGAGGCATTCTCTCCTGATGTTTCACCTGAATCTATGGCAAGCATCCTCACACCTCACTATCTCTGAGGATGCTTGCCATAGATGCAGGCGAAATGTCAGGAGAGAATGCCTCTAAAACATGGCCATATAGCCCGAAAAAACCTACAACAACCCAGTGATTCCGGCCATGAAAGAGTTCGACAATACATTTTCTTGCTCTGTTTGCCTTTGCTTTAAAAATTCTGGGATTGCAGAATTGCACTAAAAAGTACACATTAAAAAAGGAACAATTGCAATGCGGAAAGGTGTTTGGAAGCACAATTGCAGGACCCCGAATTGATGAAGAGAAGTGTGATATCAAAGGAGCCCAACCTCATATGGATCCACTATCAACAATAGCGCAGCTGCGGTGAAATAGCCTGTTTGTGCAATAAAATAAAGCAGGGGAATGCAGCCCGGTGAAGTCATTCTGGGCAAAAGACCCTTGTTTGCCTCCCGCAGGTTGCTTGTTGTGTCCTTCTCCTCCTCTCTTTTCACCTGTAGCCTAGGCTTGAGATTTGTGGCAGGCAAAGAGCGCTCACTTGCCTCTCTGGCAGTCACTACTTTGTCAGAAAGTACTTAAGTTTGCAGACAGGCTTTTAATTAGTGCTCACCATTTCATTTATGTTTGCTTTCTTCTCTCTCTCCCCCTTCTCTTTTTTTTCATTCATATTCTGTTAATTAAGTGATCAGCCTCTAATCTTCCCCTGCCAGTAGCTTCATGTAGCCATCTAATTAAATTAATTGGGGAAGATGTTTTAAGTATGTGATTAAATCAATTAATATAATTTATGCCTGGCTTAACTGTACAGTGGGAGAAAGGAGCATTGGGGAGGGGGGGGACGGCTAAGGGACGAACAGCTGAAGTTTGCCTGGGTTTCCTCCTCCATTGCCGCCGCTTTCCTCCCTTGTCACTGATCAATGCCTTCTCTTGATTTCCAGCATCTGGCCGCCAACTGGAATCGCATCAGGACCTCTAGGAGGACCATTATCCACATCCCATCATTAGGTACGGCGCTTTGTGTGCGTGTGTGTGTGTATGTCTGCGGATCTATCAGCAACCTCTATTACCCACCGCATTATGACTCCTTGATTGAGTTCAAGGAAGGCCCTTGTTTTATTCAAATTGGTCTCGGCAGGAAAATGTTGTCGACATGATGAGAGTAATAACGCAGGGCCTTCACTTGAAACGCCGTTTAATTTGGGGATTAAGCAAATAAAGTCATTATGTAGAGGCCGCTATTCAGTGGAGAGGTGATTTGCTGTAATTCGCTTTCATCTCTACGAAATGGACTAAAAAGTTGCCTCCGCCTCTTCTTCCCTCCCTCCCTCCTCCTTTTTCCCTGCCTCCCCTCCCTTCAAAATAGCAGATAATGTTTTCCGTTTGCTTTAATGACAGGGGGGAAAACATAAGCACGGCTGCTTTGTTGCTATTACACCAATAGGACCGGGGATGTTGTTTGCACCCTGTTTTTAATCAAATGTGCAGTCAAAATGATAAGCTGCATTCTCTGAAATTATTTAGTTCTAATTACGAGCAGATGGGATGCTTTATTTGCACCTTGGGCGCCGGAGCAAAAGGAAATGCTGTGTGCACAAGAATAATTAAGAAGTTGAATAGTGGGGTTTTTGTGTTGTGCTTAAATAATCTGCAGTTTCATGTTAATTAGCGCTGCTAATGCAATTATTTAATTACATGTATGAATTGGGGGGCTTAGAAGGCGTTTCGCTTTGCAAGCGGTGGGTTCGCCGGGGATGTTTTGGCTCTCTTGGAAATGCACACCTTTTTCGGACGTTCCCAATGACATACAATCGAGTCCGAGCCAATTAATTTCATTGAATGAGGTTGCTTTCATTTCAAGGAGTGAAAATTACATGGGAGGCACGGGCCATTTTGTCCATAACAGTCTATGCATATGTTTACGTCGTTTATCCTAGCACAACATGGCACGCTTAGGTAAATTTTATGGTAGCAAAATGTGTATTTTGTTAAAGACCTCTAAAACGCAATATTACCCAGTGTTTTTAGAAGCTCCTTTTCTAATTCCTCAATATAGTAAAAATATATGCAAGTGAAAGGCATTAATATTCTCTCTTTATAGCCTTTTTGCTTTCTCTCACCTCTAGCAAAATACACAAATATCATTAGGAATTATGCAGATGTCTCGAGGACTGTACTAAAGAAATTATCCACTTCTCCCTTTTTGTGAGACATTTGACAGAACAAAATAAATGGAGGAAGTGATAACTAAAAGGGTTGAAGCAGAACTCAAAATGATCTTAACAGAGAGATGATTGGCCAAAACTAACAAAATGAAGTTCAACAGGGACAAATGCAAGATACTCTTACTTACTTACTTACTTACTTACGTAGGTGATCACTCGTTGGCCGAGTAGAATAGTCTTCCAGGATCATTATTCTGGTGGGTCCGTCGGTGACTGTGGAGCCCTATTCTTGATCTGCATCTTCTCCTGCAGTGAGGGCATTGGTTTCCAGGTGGAAGGCAGTCCCAGTCGGGATTGGCTTGATGCGCCTTCCTCTTGGCACATTTCTCTCTTTCACCCTCCATTCATGCCTCTTCAAATTCTGCAGCACTGCTGGTCACAGCTGACCTCCAGCTGGAGCGCTCAAGGGCCAGGGCTTCCCAGTTCTCAGTGTCTATGCCAGAGTTTTTAAGGTTGACTTTGAGCCCATCTTTGAGCAAGATACTCAACCTAGGCAGAAAAAAGGAAATGTAAAGATACAGAATGGGGGACACCTGGCTTGAGAGCAGGACGGGTAAAAAAGATCTTGGAGTCCCCGTGAACATGAGTCAACAATGTCATGCGGTGGCAAAAAAAAAGTCAGTGGGATTTTGGCCTGCATCGATAGGAGCCTAGTGTCTAGATCCAGGGAAGTCCTGCTACCCATGCTCTATTCTATTGTAGTTTATTGTTCGGGCTTGGCCCCATGTAAGCCGCTCCGAGTCCCCATTGGGGAGATTGTGGCAGGGTATAAATAAAGATGATGATGATGATTATGATTATTATTATTATTATTCTGCCTTGGTCAGACCACACCTGGAATCATACTGTGTCCAATTCTGGGTGCTGCAGTTGAAGGGAGATGTTGACTCAAAGCTGGAATGTATCATAAGAGGGTGACTAAAATTATCAAGGGTCTGGAGAACAATCCCTATGAGGAGTGGCTTAAAGAGCTGGACATGTTTAGCCTGCAAAAGAGAAGGCTAAGAGAGGAGATATGATGAGGGCTATGGATAAATATATGAGGGGAAGTCATAAGGAGGAGGGAGCAAGCTTGTTTTGTGCTGCCCTGGAGATTAGGATGTGGAACAATGCGTTCAAACTACAGGAAAGAAAAGAGATCCCACCTGAACATGAGGAAGAACTTCCTAACTGTGAGAAAAGCTGTTCAGCAGTGGAACTCTCTATCCCGGAGTGTGGTGGAGGCTTTTAAGCAGAGGCTGGATGGCCATCTGTCGGGGTGCTTTGAATGTGGTTTTCCTGCTTCTTGGCAGAATGGAGTTGGAGTGGTATAAATAAACATAATAAACATAATAATAATAATAATAATAATAATAATAATAATAATAATAATAATGGGATCTGCACACATTATTCGCCAATACATCACACAATCTTAGACACTTGGGAAGTGTCTGATGTGTGATCCAATGCAACAGCCAGCAGAGTGACCTTGGTTGCTGTGTACTCATCTTGTTGTGTTTCTAATAATAATAATAATAATAATAATCATCATCATCATCATCTTTATTTATACCCTGCCACCATCTCCCCAAAGGGGACTCAGGGGCGGCTAACATGAGGCCAAGCCCAAAAGTTACAATACAGCAAAGTAAAATACAACAAACAAGTAATAACATCAAAATAAAATGCAAACAATAACAAGTATACAATGAGCAAACGGCAACCTATTGATAGGAAAATGGGTCGCCATCATAATAATGATGATGGTGGGTTGTTTGCTGTGTACTAATCTTGTTGTGTTTCAAATAATAATAATGATAATAATAATGATGATAATTTAAGGTGGAGCAAGCCATAGCTCAGTGTTCAAGTCATGACATCTATGTGGTTTAAATCATAAGTTACTGTCTGGATCCAGTTAGAGAGATTTCAGGTTACATGCATGTAAAAACCGATTCCCACATTTTCAAAGAATATAAAACCTAATATTTACTTATATCAGGGACCAGCATTAATTAAAAAAACTTAAATTTCTCAGTGTGAAAAAAAGAGAGAGAAAAGGGAGGAAAAAAAGGGTCGTATCTGATTTTCTGGATTAGAAAAAAATTGAGATTAATCTTAAATTTTGGCTGACCATCCTTTCTGAAATTTTCTTAGGCAACAGATACATTTGAGGCTCTCCAATTTATATTTGACCCAATTGTTATGGACACATCAATGAAAGAAAAACCTACTAGGTGTGCAGTCCTCCACTACATTCCGTGGGACTTGAAAGCGTGAGCAGGCAAATATAGGATTGCATGGTTACTAATCCCTTTTTACACCAAAATATCAAACAACTTTTGGCAAAGAAGGGGTGGGAAATGACAGCAAGTCTTGATACAAATAAAAGAATTTTCTCAGTTCTTGTGGGTTTTTTCGGGCTATATGGCCATGTTCTAGAGGCATTTCTCCTGACGTTTCGCCTGCATCTATGGCAAGCTTCCTCAGAGGTCTGCTGGAGCTGGGAAAAAGGGGTGAAAAAGGGGGGGAAAAGAATTTTCATTTTTGTCCATGAGGCATGACAGTCCGATCCTTAGGCTGCAATTGTAAACATAATCTGACATGAATTTCCAGTCAAATTAGGGGGATGTTGCTTGGCCCAATGAATATATATATATATATATATATATATATATATATATATATATATATGACAGCAAAAGCTTAAGGGGAGAAAATATTGGCCACAATATTAGCACAATAGCAGAAACCTTAACATTAAATTGGTATTTCAGGGATGTGCTCCAAATGTTTTAAAGTCAGCTAGAAGATAGTCTTGTTGGCATTTCGTCATATAATGAACAAATACCCAAAACAAGGACATCTGTTGTTTTACTACTTTCGCGAGCAAGGCCTGTTATTCTCCTTCCATGCCTGAGAGGGTAATTAATTGGTATAATTTGAAAACTGGAAAAGAAGCTGGCCAGAAATGAAAAGCCCACAAGGTGCCTTTCATCGATCACGGCATCCTTTTGGAATGTTTAATTCCTGGGCATCATCAAGACACGAACCGTAATAGATTAGCCCAATTTAAGGGACACCCTTTGAAAGGATGATTGTAACTGGTTTTAAAACAATTTATTAATTCTTTTATTAATAGAATACTATTGGAGTCAAAACAAAATAGTTCAATTATTTGAGTAAAGGATCAATTACTTTCACACTCGTGTTTTGTATTCACATAAGGGAGCTGGAATGCTATATATATGGCATTCCACCTCCCATGTATGTGTCCGTCTATACGTAAACACACATACACACATATAGGGATGTGTGGTGTGTGTGTATATAGTGTGTATGTACATATATGTGTGTGTGGGTGTATAGTATGTTGGGGGTAGAGTGTGTGTATGCAGTGTGTGCATATGTATGTGCATGTGTGTGTGTGTATATATATATATATAGAGAGAGAGTGTGTGTGTGTATGTGTGTAGACATATATATGTATTTCAAAGTTTCTATACCGACCTTCTCACCTCATTGAGGGACTCAGCCAAGTTTCCAACCATAAAAACACATACAATCAGTAAAATATCATAGTTCACAATTACAGTAACACATTTAAAATAACAATATATTTAAAACTACGGTGGTCAGTCGTCATATTAAAATCAAATATACATAATCTTCCATCCAAAATCCTAGGGTGTTGTCTCATTCATCGAAAGCCTGTCTCCACAACCATGTCTTCACCCGTTTCCTAAATGTCAGGATAGACAGGGCGGTTCTGAGTGTAGTGTATATATAGTGTGTGTGTATATATATATATGACATGTATGTGTATATATAGTATGTTTGGGGTAGAATGTGTGTATACAGTGTATGTATATGTATGTGTATAGCATGTGTATGTGTGGAGATATATATATGTGTATGTGTATATATATACACACACATATATAGCATATATGGGGGTACACACACTCTCACACACACATATATATTGTATATACACACACATACATATGCACATACTGTATATACATAGAGGGTGTGTGCGTATGTGTGTGTGTGTGGCATTCCAGCTCTTGTATATAATATACACACACATGCACACACACACACACACATGTATCAGAAATTCAGCCTTTTATTTCAAACTGTACGAATAATGTGAAAAGATCATGCTATACTTACTATTTTTGCAATGGGTTGTTGTAGGTTCTAGAATATGGCCATATAGCCCGAAAAAACATACAACAACCCAGTGATTCCGGCCATGAAAGCCTTCGACAATATTTTTGCAATGTTTTTATGGTTTGAAACTAACAATTCCTTCACTTTCTTTTGCTTTTAAATAAGGAAACCTTTTCTCTCATTACAACTAGTATGCAATCTCTGCATTTGTGCTTAACATACTGATCTAATTGCCTCAGTTCCCTATGGTAGCCATTGAGAAGTTTTCTGTTTATGCCGGACGTATACACGCATCAATAAAATGCAATATTGGCATGAGGTTCTCCTATCGTCACCCCAATTTCTTGAATTAATATTTTAAAAGCCAATCCTCATTTTTAGCAATTGCAGGAAGGTGTTTTGGTCCCTAATCCTTGGAGTCTCATGATATATAAAAGGCTCTAGTAGCATTCACTTTGTACTCAAATGAACAGTTTGGCTCTGCAACTCATGGAGCGGTGACGCCTGCACATAATGCGGGGTGTTTTTGGAAGCCTTCCCCTTTCCCCCTGCAATCGTTTAACCCCCATCTTAATCCTCCATTAGTCGATGAAGAGGAATGCGGTCTCTGGCTATTGCTCAGCTTCTCTTCGCGCGACGGGGGTCCTTCAACACATGGAGCTCAGCCAGGCGCCGTGGCTGGCAATTCTTCCAAGGCAAAGCATGCCTTCCCACGGACAGATGGGTCTCGAAATGCGGTGCTTACTTGCTCGTTTTATGACCCTGCCTTTCTTTCTCCCAAGACGGGACCCAAGGATTCGGAGAGAACAAAGCCTGACTTCCCCACAGGGGCCAAAGATGGTTCCTGTCCTGACTCTGTTGCTATTGGCAAACAGTTTAGACCCAACTGTTCTTGCATCCTCAGATATAGTCAGGGTGCATCTCCGCTGTAGAATTAATTAATGCAGTTTGGTGCCACTTGAACTACCATGGCTCAGTGTGATGGAATCAGGAATTGTAGTATTACAAGGTCTTTACCTTTGCTGGTGTTATTGAGAAACATCAACGGACAAAGATGAATTAAAAATGAAATTATTTTATTTTTTACTAGCCATACCCGCCACACGTTGCTGTGGCCAACCCCCCTCCCTCTTTCTTTCTTTTCTTCCTTCTTTCTCTCCTTCCTTCCTTCCTTCTTTCCTTCCCTCCCTCTTTTTCTTTCCCTTCTTCTTTCTTCCTTGTCTACCTGTTTCTTTGCTCTTTGGTTTCATCCTTCCTTGTCTCTTTCCTTCCTTCCTTCCTTCCTTTCCTCCCTCTTTCTTTCGTTCCTTCTCTCTTTCCTCCCCTCTCTCTTTCCTTCCTTCTTTCACTTTTTTGTTCCCTTATCTCCTTCCCTCCTTCTTTCTCTCCCTCCTTCTCGCCTTCCTTCCTTCTTTCTCCTTTTCTGTGTATATGTGTTTTGTGTGTGCATATATGTGTGTATATATATATGTGTGTGTATATATGTGTGTTTGTGTATATATGTGTTTTTGCACATGCGTTGTAATGCATTTTTTGTTTTTTGGCTTTTAAAGTCTCTCCCGCTGTGTCAAAATTTTGTGTTCCTTCGTCCAGTGGTTTTTGAGTTATGTTATTCCCATAAACGAACATTACATTTTTATTTCTATAGATTTTTTTTACCAATTTCGCAATGTCAAAAGATTGCTCTTCCTCAATTGCAGAAAAGTCCAGCCAGCTATATCTTCCCTTGTCTATGAAATCTACCTTTATGAATTTGTATAAACAATATCAAATGGAAAGTGAACCGAGAACTGCAAAGCTATAAAACTGCCTTGCTTAATCTCATGCCTTCGATAGCAAGCTATTCAAATGTTCTGTAATTACCAGTAATTCTTGGTAACCGGCCCCTCATTTTGAGCCTCTTCCTCCCGTATCAGATGGATGCTGTGATCCTAAAATGTCTCATATCACTGACATTAACCATGTTTGCAAACTGTTGATCGCAGAGCTTTTCACTTAACTGATGATTTAGAGAGGATTGTGAGCTTTCCTGTGGCACAAAGTGATGGGCTCTTAAGTCTTAGAAATTCAAATCTAGGAAATGGTGGTTCTTTCTGTGACAAAAACTGGCTTGGAAAGTGCAGGGCCTCAAGGGCATTCAAGGGAGTCAGAAGTAGCAACAGCAGATAAAGAATCGAGTGGTGAGCTGAGTGATAAGGAGAGTCGTCATGAAAATCCACCCATAGTTACAGAGATCAACAAAAGTCTTTGTTCACAAATCGGAGCTGAAAATAGATTGCATCGTTCAGAGAAATTACTTGGAAAAGACTGGGCCACAGCAACGTGGGGCAGGGGACAGCTAGTGTAGAATAAATTCTGTCTGGACTGAGCATCTCGTTTTCTCTAACACTCATTCTGGTCATGTTTCTCTGTAGCATTACCCAGAAAATAGCCATTTGAATCATCTAATTGTATTCATCGTCTTCAATTATATAAACCTGCAGCTCTTACCATGGTTTCTTACTTGAAGGAATGGCAGCAAACAAGACAATTAAAAATCTTAAATTAGGAATGCTATGTGTGAAGTTGGGGATGCCTCATTTCACCTGCTTCTGAAAACTGTTTTGGAAAAATGTCAACATTTGGATGCTTAAAGATTCTTTAAGAGGCTGCATATTGGGATTCCACTAACATTGAAAGAAAATCTATGATTCAGAATAAGTCCAGGATATATGTTTATCTAACTTCAGTTGGGTTCTGTTCTCAACACAAGTGTGTAGTAGTGCTCCAACAGTGCAATTTTACATCCTTCGGCATCTTTATGTATTATTTGGATTGTCACTATTTTAAGAAGGTGAAACCAGCTCAATTTAACAATTATTTTAAATAGGGAATGCCAAACCAGTGCTGTAAGGAAATGGCCAAGAAGGGAATCATGTAATAGTTTTGAAAACTCCATTCTCCAATGTGGTTGATAACTTTTCTATTACATTTTCAACTTTATTGTTCTGGTAGAAATCTATCCATTGAGATATTCCATTCAGATAATAAAATCCCAATAGACGGGTCAAACACTACAGTATATAGACAAGATATAAATTAAGTATTATTACAGGGAGGAGGGAGCAAGCTTGTTTTCTGCTTCCTTGGAGACTAGGATATGGAACACTGGCTTCAAACTACAAGAGAGGAGATTCCATCTGAACATGAGGAAGAACTTCCTGACTGTGAGAGCCGTTCAGCAGTGGAACTCTCTGCCCCGGAGTGTGGTGGAGGCGCCTTCCTTGGAGGCTTTTAAACAGAGGCTGGATGGCCATCTGTCAGGGGTTCTTTGAATGCAATATTCTTGCTTCTTGGCAGGGGGTTGGACTGGATGGCCCATGAGGTCTCTTCCAACTCTTTGATTCTATTATTCTATGAGGATGATTATTATTATCCTATGAATGCTATGAATCTCCCTACTTGACAACCCATTCAAGTCCGGACTTCCTTTTAAAAAGTAATTTATTGTGTGAACTGGTTTTGTTGTGCTGGTTGCCGCTGGGCGCAAAGGCTCTTAGGACCGATCTCTGTGAAAGGTTTCATTGTGACTTTTGTAATGCATTGCAATGGCTTCTTTTCAGGTTATACACAAATTGTGAGAGAGGCGACTCCTGATTTTGCCATCCATCAGGGATCTCAGATTGGAAGGCTGTGTGAAATACAAGGTATGGATTTGCTCCTCCATTTAGCCTACTGTTACACCCCAGGCCTGAAGCTACCTATGACCATACCATCACACAGTAGTCTAGAGTAGAAGCAGACAGTTTATTGCAAAACACACAAAAGATATATAGTAAAAAAGCAGGAATAATGAAATAAGGTGTAGAACCCAAAGTTCAGCAATCGGTTGTCTTTTATAAATCCAAAAGCAATACAGTCCAAAGATAGCCCCAAAATACAGTTAGCTTGTCCATAAGCGAAACTTGAACAAGAATACAAGTCTCCCAGAATACTAAAATCCAATCCAAGACTTGAATACAAGAATTAGAAAATCCAGGCCTAGCTGTACTTGAAAGCCACGTTGCCTGAACTGAAAGTAGAATGCCTGTTAGCTCACACATACACACAAGTTCTGAGTTTGGCTCTTTTCTCCCAAATGATGCAGTCTAGAAATTTCAGAGCATTGGATAGTAACTGAAAGTACATTCTAGTATTCAGTGGTCCAGTTGTCAGGAGAGAATGCTTCTGGAACATGGCCAGACACCCCAGAAAACTCACAACAACCCAGTAATGATGGCCATGAAAGCCTTTGACAACTCAACCTAATAGTTTGGGGCAGCCACAAAAACGAAGTTTCTGGAGTAGAACAACTCCTTTCAAAGTAAGTACTGTCCAAATAAACAAGAAATAACACTATCAAACCAAGAACAGTTCCCCCCCCCCCCCCAAATTTTGTTGCATAGTGTACATAGTGTAATATTTCCTACAGAGATAGACTGTCGGATTGAAGACTGAAGTGGGATGGATTCTTTAGCAAATCCCAACTTTAAAAAAAACATACTGATAGTGGTTTGTGTGTTTTGTGCTAAGACATCTCTCTGTATTATAATTCGTTATTTTGTCATTCCACCTATTTCCATTTGCATATATGGTGAAAATTGCTGGAAGAAATATTAACAACCTTAGATATGATCTGATCACCCTACTCAATCTATCCCATATGCATGGGGGCAGGGCCGTAGCCAGAAAAAAAATTCGGGAGGGGTTGAAATTTTCGGGGGGGGGGGTTGAAAATTTTGCGGGGGGTTGAAACCTGCCTCCTAGGTCACGCTGAAGCAAAGAGCACAGGAGGGGGCAGAGCAGCCTTCAATAGCCTGCAACCACCTCCACCAAGTCTGGCCTCCTTAATGAGAGCATTCAACACCCCCCCCCCCCAACTTGGTTGCTTCACTACATCGGCTATTGCTGCAAGTAATGACAGTGTGAATAAATTGTCAATATTTGCTTGAGATAGTGCTTGCAGTTCTGGAGGGACTCTTAATTTTTTGCATCTCATAGACTTAGCATGGGGATTTGGTTAACCAGTTAAAATTCATGAGTAAACCAGGTTTTTTAAAAAATCTGAAACATTTCGGGGGGGGGGTTGAACCCCTAAAACCACCCCCTCGCTACAGGCCTGCATGGGGGTATTGCGGTAACGATACAAAATGTTTGCTGGGGTACACCCTCTTTCACTCGGACTCAGCCCCCCCCCTCGAAACAAACTCAGCCCCCCCCCCCAAACAAAATCCTGGCTATGGGCCTGCAGGAGACACTTACTTCTTGGGAGGAGAGCAATGTCCAATCACGATAAAATAGTGAAGAGTAGAGACATCACGCTGGCAACGAAGATCCGCAGAGTTAAAGCAATGGTATTCCCCATAGTCACCTATGGATGTGAGAGCTGGACCATAAGGAAGGCTGAGCAAAGGAAGATAGATGCTTTTGAACTATGGCATTGAAGGAAAGTTCTGAGAATGCCTTGGACCGCAAGAAGATCCAACCAGTCCATACTTGGGAAATAAAGCCTGACTGCTCCTTGCAGGGAATGATATTATAGGCAAAGATGAAGTATTTTGGCCATGTAATGAGAAGACAGGAAAGCTTGGAGAAGACAATTATGCTGGGGAAAATGGAAGGAAAAAGGAAGAGGGGCCGACCAAGGGCAAGATCGGGGGCGGCTCAACCCATTACGCAAAGTAAGCATTTGCAGTACAGTTGATTTTGCCCAGGGGCGCTCTTGAGGTACTCTTGGGGAAAAATAGACCTTGACATATGTGAGTTGTAGTTACTGGGATGTATAGTTCACCTACAATCAAAGAGCATTCTGAGCTCCACCAATGATGGAATTGAACCAAATATGACTCAGAACTCCCACAACGAACGGAAACTATATATCAGTGATTGGTTGGGGGGGGGGGGGGTTGCCAAAATACTGTTTGCTTACTGTTGAAAATTACCTAGGCCCCCCTCTGGGCAAGATGGATGGATGGGATCCTTGAAGTGACTGGCTTGACCTTGAAGAAGCTGGGGGTGGTGACGGCTGACAGGGAGCTCTGGCGTGGGCTGGTTCATGAGGTCACGAAGTCGGAAGCGACTGAACGAATGAACAACAACAACAACATATGGCAGAATGTCCTAGTGCAATACAAGTGTGATACAAATATTTTTATTTAAGCAGCCCATTGAGTCCCAAGAGGAAAACATGAGGAAAGCAGAATCTGATTGAATCCTGATCAGTTGCATGTCGTCGCTCAGCATCATACAAACCCAAGTGCACACATAATTTTGTTCTCAGGAATTTTTCGAAGGGCTGAGGGCAGGTGATCTGAACTAATCAAAAGGAAAACTATAAGCGCACCAAGCTTTTTACCACTGCATAGCAATCTCTTCCCGAAGCCGTGGCAGCAGCAACAACAACAATAACAACATATTAATTTGTCGCTGGCCAACTTTCCCGGCTCTCCAGAATGACATACTTTACATAATTCATTTATATTTCAGCATCATTATTATTTCATAAATGCCATTTCGGAAGTTTGAGCCCAAAAGTGTATTCTGAAAATTTATAGGAGCCTAAAATAATCACTTAATTGCCTTTATATATTATGGAGGCACTAATGTTGCTTTGTCCCCAGTACGATTCTTTTGGAGTGCTTATTTTAAGAGAGATTTGTGACTTGTGAGAGGGTTAGAAAGTTAGAGGCAGTGTGTAAGCATGTATTTCTCTTCCCAAGATGTGCTTTTCCCTGTGGTTAAAAATCTCCCATATATGTGCCCAGTGGCTACAGTTATATCTTGTTTTCGTGGAAACTCCATGGATGAGCTGCTGATGGTCACTGGATAGCACTACTTTAGAGGGCAAATCCCTGCTCCAAGGTATTTACAATATGATATCCAGCAGAGAAGAGATAACAGAGGAAAAAGAAAGGGTAAACAAGGAGAGGCTATTTCAGTTAGCACATAATTCACATAAACTGTAATCTGGTGGAGGGATTCAAGGGTTGTACCACAGGATTTTCAAGAAAAGGGCTGAAGAGACACTTGAGAAATGGCACCATACTGATGTTCTTGAAGGTATAAGAGGTTATGGGTAGGTTCTCCTCAACAAAACAATGAAACCTCAAGGTGATTGAAACGGATGCACCTGGAGCAGGAAAGTCACAAGCAAAATAATATATACAAGAGTGAAAATGACCTGTTTCTGGCAGAATCAGTGAAGATTTGCACACTCCTTACTATCTCTCATGGCCAGGTTTGATGGTCTTCCAAGAGTAGAGTCCTGGCTGTGAGTCCGTAAGTGACTGTAGAGATCTACTCTGGATCACCATGGTCTTTTGCAGTGAGGACATCATAACATTCCAAATGAAAGGCAATCCCAACAAGAGTCTGCTTGAGGCTCCTTCTTTCTTTTGACACCTTTCTCCCTCCATCCGAGTCTCTTCTAAATCCATAGCACTGTTGGTCACAGCTGACCTCCAGTTAGAAGCCCAAGGGCCAGGGCTTCCCAGTTCTCTCTCAGTGTTTATGTCACATTTTTAAAGGCTAGCATTAAACCCATCTTTCAATCTCTTTTGGCTGTCCACTGATATTCCATTTTGCATTCTTGAGCTGAAAAAAAATACTGCTTTGGTAGATGATGAGGCATTCGATCCAGTGAAGTTGATGGTGAAGGATCATTACTTCTTTTTCCAGACACTGGCGTTTATCCACTTGTCTTCTTCTCAAGAGATTGGTAAGGTTTGTCAAAGGAAATCTTTCCAGAAGTTGAGAGTGATATTTGTAGACGGTCCATGTTTCGTGGCCATAAACAGAGTTGAGAGTACAGTAGCTTTGTAAACAAGTCTCTTGGCCTTCCTACGAATGTTCTCATCCTCAAACACTCTCTGCTTCATTATAGACTATGCTGCACTTGCAGAGCTCTGACAGTGCTCAATTTTGGCATCTATGTTGACTTTTTTTGTGCCAAAGCAGTGAAAATGTATCAACATTTTCTAGTGTTACACCATTGAACTTTATTTCTGATATTGCAGAGGGATTTGTTGGTGCCTTTTGCTGGTAGAAGAGCACTTTGGTTTTCTTGAAGCTCAGTGAGACGCCAAGCTTTTCATGTTTCCTCAAAAATGTTTAAGACAGTGGTTCTCAACCTTCCTAATGCCCTGAACCCTTAATACAGTTCTTCATGTTGTGCTGACCCCAACCATAAAATTATTTTCGTTGCTACTTCATAACTGTACTTTTGCTACTGTTATGAATCATAATGTAAATATTTGATATGCAGGATGTATTCTCATTCACTGGACCAAATTTGGCACAAATACCCGAATTTGAATACTGTTGGGATGGGGGGGGGGGGGGATTAATTTTATAGTTCATTTACAATCAAAGAGCATTCTGAACTCCACCAATGATGGAATTGAAGCAAACTTGGCACACAGAGCTCCCATGACAAGCAGAAAATACTGGAAGGGTTTGGTGGGCATTGACCTTGAGTTTCGAAGTTGTAGTTCTCCTACATCCAGAGAGCACTGTGGACAATAAAGGATCTGGACCAAACTTGGCATGACTACTCAGTATGCCCAAATGTGAACACTGGTGGAGTTTGGTGGAAATAGACTTGACATTTAGGAGTTGTAGTTGTTGGGATGTATAGTTCACCTACAGTCAAAGAGCATTCTGAACCCCACCAATGATAGAATTAAGCCAGAATTCCCACACAAAACCCCCATGAACAACAAAAAATACTGTGTTTTCTGATGGTCTTTGGTGACCGCTCTGACACTCCCTCGCGACCCTACCCAGGGGTCCTGACTCCCAGGTTGAGAAACACTCATTTAAGGTGAGTTGTAGGTCTTCCTCTAAATAAGCACAAACACGTTATCAGCATCATATTTGAATTTTATAACAGGTATTATTATTACCTTATTCTTGGCTTTCAAGTTAAAGTGCTTGCCATCTGTCCAGTTGATGATTTCCACACAAATCCGAAGTTTCCTGTCAACACAGTGTAAAATCATAGTGATAATGATGGAACATAAAGTTTACTTTCCTATCTAATTGTGTTGTTCTTTGAACCAAGTCTTTTATAACTTGTTAAGCTTAACTCTGCTCCTGAATTGCTGAAGCTCAATGGCTCTACTACTGATACTGGAAGCTTCCAATCTGCTGAACTGCTGCTACTGCAGTTGTTGCTACTTTACCACTTTGAATGCTTTTTTACTTTTTGAAATTATTCCCCCTCCCCAACAAAAAGTAATATTTTTCCTAGCAGTAATTAATTATGACTCTTCCTTTGTTTTTGTTTCTAAAGATCCTAATGTGGACGTCATCTACATTTGCCCCTTTGAAATGAGCGAGGAGATGCAGGACTATTACGACAGGCTCCTGGGACTACAGACGGCTGTTAAATCCGGGAACCCCGAGGACATTGCTGACCTGCGGGACAGGTTCAAGATCCTCACCCCTGAAGCCATCCACAGCTTCCCTGTGAGTTTGTGTCTTCTAATTACTACAGCGGAGGGGGGGACGCCGTAAAATTAAATTGGAAATTTTATAACGTGCAACGCTCTGGTACCCGTCAATGAAATATTATTGCCACTTTTAAGAGCCGCGCAGATTAAGTGACTAGTTAAAAGAGTGTTGGAAATGAATGCCCCGGTTTAGCTTTGCAAGCTGAACACTGAGCTGAGCTAAGCCTTTCTCTGATGGAGTCTGGACCTCTGAACTTGAGAGATTTAAAGTGGGATAGAAAGAGGGAACAATTCAAAACATTTTTGGCTGCTCAAACTTTCCTTCTCTGCAGACACACAGACGGTTGCTCCCTCCTTCATCCCTTTCCCCTCTCTTGCTTCTTATTGTGGCATCAGCTGCAGTGGCGCAATGGGTTAAACCCTTGTGCCGGCAGGACTGATGACTGACAGGTCAGCGGCTCGAATCTGGGGAGAGGGGTTTGAGATCCTTTTGTCAGCTCCAGCTCCCCATGCGGGGACTTAAGAGAAGCCTCCCACAGGATGGTACAACATCAAAACGTTTGTGTGCCCCCTGGGCAATGTCCTTGCAGACGGCCAATTCTCTCACACCAGAAGCGACTTGCAGTTTCTCAAGACACTCCTGACACGAAAAAAATCTAATTTAAGACTCCCCGCCCCCTTTGAATCAATTAATGGCTTTAATTGAGGGGTGTTGGATAATGTTAGCTGCCTTGAACCTATCCAGTCAGTTTGAATTTGTTGGAACATACTCCAAAAGGAAATACCTCTCCAACTTCTGTGTTTTTCTGGGTTGTTTTTTTACATGTTCTTTTCACAATTCTGCAATACCATGTGCTAATTGAAGACAGGTAGTCTTTGTATGCTCTTGCTTATTCATGTAAGCTCAGCTGAAAGTTGGTGATCTTGGTTTTATAAAGTACCAAAACACTTGGTACTTGGTACTTGGTACTCAGATCAGTCATTATTTATACTACAACATTCTGATACCTCGCTTGTGTGGGAAGATCTGGTTTCAGTGAAGACTAGGAGTTCATTTACACATCTTTTAGTTCAGGCATGGGCAAACTTGGGCCCTCCAGGTGTTGTGGACTTCAACTCCCACAATTCCTAACAGCCTACTGGCTGTTAGGAATTGTGGGAATTGAAGTCCAAAACACCTGGAGGGCCTAAGTTTGCCCATGCCTGTTTTAGCTTGTTCATCAGCTTGTGCCCATTCCTTGAGAATCAGGTCTGACCATGTTGATACATGCCTTAGTTAGATCCCATTTGGATTGCTATAACACATTCAACTTGGGATTGCCTTTGAGGGCTGTTTGGAAACTCCAGGTGGTCCAAAGTACTGAGGCTGAATTGTTGCAGGGAACACCCAACTCCCTTGTTGCAACAACTCACTAGTCCATTCCTGGGCACAATGCTTTTCACTTATAAATCCTAGATAGCTAGTTGCAGGTTATTGGAAGGGCCATATTTTTCCTTACATTTTTGAGATCTTGTGGGACATTTTTGAGATCTTGTGGGACTGTCTTTCCCATCCCCATCATGGGTACATGTGTAATAATAATAATAATCATGATCATCTATATAAATAAAAATGCAATGTTCATTTGTGGGATTAACATAACTCAAAAACCACTGGACAAATTGACACGAAATTTGGGCACAACACATCTATCAGACCAATGAGTGACCATCACTCATAAAAACACAGAAAAACACAACAGAAGGGACTTAAAGGCCAAAAAAGCAAAAAGACGCTATAGTGCATGCACAAAAACAACTCCCCCTGGCAAACAAAACACACAATAGCATATCCACATTCTCTTCCGGACTACAGCTCCCAGCATCCCCTAGATCAGGCCCTTTAGGAGAGGAGGATGATCCGAATGCACTGCTTCCAAGAGGCAAGCTTTCTTCTCCTTGGATTTCTTTGAGAGCATCCCAATCCCTGCAAATTTCCAATTTCCTATTCCTGGACTGCAACTCCTATCAGTCCTCCAGATAGATAGTTTAGATAGAGATAGATAGGTAGATAGATCGATCAGGAGGACTGCTGAGAGTTGCAGTCCAAGAATAGGTAGAGAAGGAAGAAAGGGGAGAAAGAGAAAAGGAAAGAAAAGTCAGGTAAGAAAGGGAAGAGGAAGAGAAGGAAGGAAGGAGGGAGGGAAAGAAAAAGAGGAAGGAAGGAGAGAAAGAAAGAAGGAGTGAAAGAGGGAAGGAAGGTAGGCCACAGCAACACGTGGCGTGTACAGCTAGTAATAATAATAATGAAAAAGCAGCAAGGCTTCACAAACATAACTCTAATCATCATCGCCATCATCATCACAAAGAGCAGCAAGGCTTCATAAATATAACTCCAATAACAACAACAACAACAACAACAACAATGGTTGTGGTTCAGAATTTCTTTTCTCCTTTTGGAAATGTGGCAAACATTTGCTCTCCTCTGTTCTCCTGGGATCATTCCTCTCCTTCAAGAATTATTGTCAGTGGCTCTGAGATCACATTACAATGTCTTCAGTTCTCTTGGGTGTTATTCATTCAGCCCTAGAAACTTTACTTCCTTTATAGCAGTGGTTTCCAGCCTTTTTTTGACCAGGGACCACTTTGACCAGGGACCCCTCTCCAACATTAGTACCAAAAGGGTTACGAATCAGTTTTTGGTCTACTTTAGATTCGATTTAGGATGCTGACTCAGAAAATTGCATTGGATAGACCACATCAGTTCTAGTTTCTGATACACAACATATGCCATCCAGTAGTTTCCATATGCTTGTCCACAGAAAACCATATTTAATAAGCCTCGGCACTATAAGAGAGTTCTCCCACTTTCCATGTACACATGAAATACTTTTTTTCTTTGTTGTTTTTGTTGTTGTTTTTCCCATAATGTCATAACAATAAAAATATTTAAAATAAATAAATATATTGTTGAAGGCTTTTATAGCCAGAAAAAAAGAGAGTTTCACGAGACAAGTCACTCTTGTTGCAACGGTGTAGTAATGGTGAGGCCGCTGACCATATTTGAGTTCTTGTGGACCACTGGTGGTCCACGGACCACAGGTTGGGAACCATTGCTTTATAGAGTCACTAGATATTTTCTTTAGGGATCGTCTTCACCTGTTTTGGGCTGCTGTCCTATTACTGTATCAGTAGAACATCATTTTCCTTTAAGGAGAAGACCAAAGGTGTTGAACATTGTCTACTTTCCTGTTTTCTACCTAATGGCCCAACTCTTTCCTTGTTCTTCCTCTTCCTAAAAACACAGCCAAAGCTGACTAATAAATGCCAGACCTATTTTGTTAATGCATTTGGTTTTATTGTGATGTTTTGGTATGTTTTTTGTTTGTTTTAATCTATTGCACAGATTATACATGTATAAACTCTGTAAATAAACACATCTGTAGCTAGAGTGGTCTATGAATTAATAAGCTAAGAGACAAAGACATTTCTCTCCTTCTTTCTAAGGGCGATTGCCCAGGAGATTCCTAAAAGATGCTGCTCTAGATAGTGGATTCATAGGAGCAGTTTCATAGCCTGGGGGTCTTAAAAAGGGAATGAAGTCTCACTTATGCAGGGCTTTTTGTTCCCAGCTCCCTCCATCTGGCCACCCTCTTTGTCCTTCCACTTCCATGAATCTGTTCCTTTTCTGCTCCTGCCTTGTTTTGGACATGCTCTCTATTTTGGACACAAGCCCATTTTTACACATTATGGAGAGACAATGTGGGTTGTGCCATGAAGAAGAAGTTGCAAGCAATTGGGGCCGCCCACCGTGACAAACGCTCCAGCGTGATAGCATATGTTTGCGAGCATGCATTTGTTATAGTCACACTTTTGTTGGTCGAAAGATACAAAGAGGTATCTCAGAGTGTTTATTGAATTTTCCTTATTTAACCTGGAGCGAAAAGAACTGCCATCTAATACAAATATTTATCCATGGAATGGCATGTGAAAAAATGTAAATAAAAACAGTGAATTTTCTTTTCCTGGTGGAAGCATCATTTGTATTTCGTCCCAGCTATTTGCCAAAAACAGAGGAAAGAGGTAAAGAGCGGGGAGGTTTCTCTATTTTTGTGTTGACTTCTTTTTCCCTGACGTCAGGAAAAAAAAGCCAACCAAATGGGTGCCATCCGCGCTGAGATGAATCGCCATTATCCAAAGGCCGCGAGCCTCCCTTTCCGAGTGACAGAAGGAGAATTCCACGTGGATCAAATAAATACAGATGTGTCGTAATTAGTTCTATTCCCAGCGAGCCCATTCTCGACACACTAAAGATGTGAGCGATTACGGAGCCTCACCCCAACAGCTTTTATCAATTTAAACGGGCGACGCTACAGGAGAGGTCATAACCCAGCCTGCTATTAATAATGTATTTATGGGGCTGGGCATTATAAATTAGCTGTGCGGGAGAGGAAGAAGAAAAGCGCACCACTGTCTTAACCAGACCAATATTGTTGTTGCACTTAGGGCCGGCCCATGTCCCTGGCCACCTTCCTCAAGTACAGTCCCAAGACCATCCAGAGGATCCGGCGTCTGATCCAAGGCAAAGTGGCCTACTTGGTTGGAGGGCTCCTTGGTCAAGACGATCTGGAAGTGGCTGACACCTTGGACCTCCCCGTTTTGGGTTCCAGCCCGGAAGTGTCCCGTCTCTACAGCTCCAAGTCCGGAAGCAAGAGGATCTTCGATGCCTCTAAGGTTCCGGTGCCACCAGGCCGGTACGACATCTACAGCCGGCAACAGGTATGTCTGTGTTTATTTATTGACATATGGACCAACTTCAGCTCTTCCTCCAGGTGTTTTGGACTTCAACTCCTACAATTCGTAACATTGTGTGAGTTGAAGTCCAAAACACCTGGAGGAAGAGCCGAATTTGGCCCATGCCTGTATTACACTATGTGACACATTTTTTGTTCCTGGGTTATAAATATAATTTCCTAATTGGTTCTGTCATAAAAACATGGGGAAAGTTTGTTAAACTGCAAAAAACAAAACAAAAACAAAGCAAAAACCCAACACTTTGTTTCTGCTGGACATCCTGCAGCAGCACATTTTGCAATAGTTTCTCAATGAATATCTTATTGAGTCTCAACCAATTCAACCTAGTTGTGACAGTTGTTTCTGAAGTGGAACAACTACTTTCGAAGTAATTGCCGCACAATTAAACAGAAAAATAACACTTTCAAACTAGGAACAGAATTTGTTTCAAATTATGTTACGTAGTGTTATTGTTGTTATTATTTTTATATTATATTCCACTTTTTCTCTCTAAATAAAGAAAGGCTCAAAGCCAGCTCACAATAAAACCAACACAATCCAATTACAACTTTAAAATATAAGAACATGAAAGTGGAATTAAACATGAACTGTATTAAAAGTAAACAGTTCAAACTCCTAAAACCAATTCAAAACCTGTTCATAGCAAAAACCACAGAATCTCCGACTTGATTCTTATTTACATCCCTCCCAGAGGTCTTGAGGCAGCAAGTGACAATATACCCTTATCAGAGTTTTCCAAACTGTGTGTCACAACACATTCATAGAATCATAGAATCATAAAGTTGGAAGAGACCTTGTGGGCCAACCAGTCCAACCCCTTGCCAAGAAGCAGGAAAATTGCATTCAAAGCACCATTGACAGATTTCGTTTGTGCGTCGGCCGCAGTATGTAGCTATGTCAAGCAAATGTAACGAGAAACAATGTGAAATAAGCAATAAACCATATATTTTAAAAACATATAATGAAAGATTTTCATGAGATATGTTGCATCCCCCAACATTTTGTTATTCCAATTTCTTTATTTATTTCATGGCAAAAGCATTGCACAGATAAGCATAAAATGGATAAAAATAGAAATAGCACAAGTGGCTAAATTATTTATTTATTTATTTATTTATTTATTTACTGCATTTGTTGACCGCCGTTCTCAGCCCTAGGGCGACTCACGGCGGTGTACAACATATAAAAACAGTTTACAATAGGGGAATATCACAACAATAATATCGACATGACTATCAAAATACAGTTACACTAAATCATCCGCGCCGTCTCATCGTAGAATCATAAACCAATCTCGTTATCCATATTCCGTTCCAGTCATCATTGCCAATTGTTGTAGCACTTAGTCAAACACCTTCTCAAATAACCATGTCTTTAGTCTTTTGCGGAATGACATAAGAGAGGGCGCCTGTCTGATGTCTACAGGGAGGGTACTCCATAGCTGGGGGACCACCACTGAGAAGGCCCTATCCCTCGTCCCCGCCAGGCGTGCCTGTGAGGCAGGCGGGATCGAGAGAAGGGCCTCCCCAGACGATCTCAAGGTCCTCGTGGGCTCATAGGCCGAGATGTGGTCAGAAGGTATTTTGGGCCGGAACCGTTTAGGGCTTTGTAGGCCAACACCAGCACCTTAAATTGGGCCCGGTAGCAGATCGGCAGCCAGTGGAGCTGGAACAACAAGGGCGTTGTGTGCTCCCTGCGTCCCGCTCCTGTTAGTAACATGGCTGCCGCTCGCTGGACTAGCTGAAGCTTCCGGGCCGTCTTCAAGGGCAGCCCCACGTAGAGAGCGTTGCAGTAGTCAAGGCGGGATGTGACCAGAGCGTGTACTACCGTGGCCAAGTCAGACTTCCCGAGGTACGGGCGCAGCTGGCGCACGAGCCTAAGCTGTGCAAATGCTCCCCTGGTCACCGCTGAAACCTGGGGATCCAGGCTCAACGATGACTCCAGGATCACACCCAAGCTGCGAACCTGTGCCTTCAAGGGGAGTGCGACCCCGTCCAGCACAGGCTGTAACCCTATACCCTGTTCGGCCTTGCGACTGACCAGGAGTACCTCTGTCTTGTCTGGATTTAATTTCAATTTGTTCGCCCTCATCCAGACCATTACAGCGGCCAGACACCGGTTCAGGACCTCAACAGCCTCCTTAGTAGCAGGTGGAAAGGAGTGACAGAGTTGGACATCATCTGCGTACAGATGACACCGCACCCCGAAACTCCGGATGATCTCACCCAGCGGCTTCATGTAGATATTAAACAGCATGGGGGACAGTATAGAGCCCTGTGGAACCCCACAGGTCAAAGGTGTACCCCAATAACACCTTCTGGGTGCGGCCCTCCAGAAATGACCGGAGCCACTGCAGAACAGTGTCCCCGAGGCCCATTTCCGCAAGGCGCCCCAGAAGGATACCGTGGTCGACGGTATCGAAGGCCGCTGAGAGGTCCAGGAGCACCAACAGGGACACACTCCCCCTGTCTAGCTCCCGGCGCAGATCATCCACTAAGGCGACCAAGACCGTCTCGATTCCATGTCCCGGTCTGAAACCAGACTGTGCCGAATCCAGATAATCCGTGTCTCTCAAGAATACCTGGAGTTGTGAGGAAACCACGCTTTCCATGACTTTGCCCAAAAAGGGAAGATTGGAAACAGGCCGAAAGTTGTCAAATTTAGTGGGGTCCAGTGATGGTTTCTTCAACAGCGGTTTTATAATAGCTTGTTTTAAGCTCGCTGGAATCTTGCCTTCCCGAAGGGAGGCATTAACCACCACCGTTACCCACTCAGCCAATCCCCCTCTGGCCTCCTTCAGAAGCCAGGATGGGCAGGGGTCTAGGCTGGACGTGGTGGGCCTCATTCCTCCAAGTATCTTGTCCACATCCTCGGGTTTCACAAACTGAAAAGAATCCATCAAAATAGGACAAGCAGGTGCTCGTGTCACATCCTCAGAGACTGCATTTAACATGGTGTCCAGCCCAGAACGGATCAAGCGACTTTGTCTGCAAAGAACCGAGCAAATGCTTCGCAGCGCGTGGCCGAATTGTCAGGGCTCCCGCCTAGGTGGTGGGAGTTAAAAGACCTCTGACAATCCGGAACAACTCCGCCGGACGGTTCTTTGCAGACGCAATAGTGGCCGCAAAGAAAGTCTTCTTTGCGGCTTTTATTGCCGCGGCATATGCCCTTAAAAAGGACACAAACCGTGTTCGATTTGGCTCGCTCGGATCCGAACGCCACACGCTCTCTAGTTCCCTCTTCCTTCGCTTCATCACTGCCAGCTCCTCAGTAAACCAAGGAGCTGGTTTAGCTCAGCTACTTGAGAGGGGACGTTCCGGAGCGATCATGTCAATTGCCCTGGCCATCTCTCCATTCCAGAGAGCGACCAAGGCCTCGACATGGTCACCTACCGAGGTGGCGGGGAAATCCCCAAGAGCCGTCAGGAATCCATTCGGATCCATAAGCCTCCTGGGGCGGACCATCTTAATGGGTCCTCCACCTTTGCAGAGGTTAGGGGGCGCAGTGAGCCTAAATCTGATCAGGAAGTGGTCGGTCCATGGCAACGGAGAGATGGACAACTCCTCCACACCGCCACCCTGCTCCCATCCCTGGCAGAAAACCAAGTCCAATGTATGTCCAGCACAGTGGGTGGGGCCAGATATTTGTTGGGACAGCCCCATGGTTGCCATGGCAGACATGAAGTCCTGAGCCGCTCCTGTGAGGGTCGCCTCGGCATGGATATTGAAGTCTCCCAGCACGATAAGCCGTTGAGACTCCAACGCCAGGCTCGAGACTACCCCCGCTAGCTCAGGTAGGGAGACTGTAGTGCAGCGAGGTGGATGGTACACTAACAGAATCCCTATTCTGTCCCGGTCACCCACCCTCAGGTGGACGCATTCAAAATTTGTTGACTGCGGGATGGGGCTCCTGGTCAGATGGATGGAATCTCTATAGACCACTGCGACCCCGCCTCCCCGCCCTCCGGATCTTGGTTGGTGCTGCACGGAGAAGCCTGGAGGACAAAGCTGGGTTAGTTTTTGACAAAAACCGGGCAACAGTGACCTCATTGTCTGTAGCTTTAAACAATTCTTCATGAGGCAGGGCATTGTGGACAAGCATTCAGGTGCGGAGTTGTTCGTTCTGCTCCACAGTCGGACAAGGTGGAGGATTATTTTAGGTTGTGCCATTTTGCCAGGTTGCCCTTCGATCTGCCCATTCCTCTTCTAAGTCTTTTCAAGGACTTCCAAGTTGCCCATTCTTGGTTTGCCCCTGGAGAAAGACCCTAATTGGGGGCCATCTGTTGGGATTTCCTGATTTAGCTGCCCAGAGGGATGCTCTTGCTGTTGCTGGGGGAACATCTAGAGCAGTGGTTCTCAACCTGGGGTCTCCAGATGTTTTTGGCCTACAACTCCCAGAAATCCCAGCCAGTTTGCTAGCTCAGTTTTTGTGGGGTTTTTCGGGCTATATGGCCATGTTCTAGAGGCATTTCTCCTGAAGTTTCGCCTGCATCTATGGCAAGCATCCTCAGAGGTGAGGTCTGCTGGAACTGGGAAAAAAAGGGGTTTATATATCTGTGGAATGACCAGGGTGAGACAAAGGGCTTTTGTAAGTTGGGCTTCACCCACAAGAACTGAGTGATTCCAGCCATGAAAGCCTTCGACAATACAGTTTACTAGCTGTTAGGATTCCTGGGAGTTGAAGGCCAAAAACATCTGGGGACCCCAGGTTGAGAACCACTGATCTAGAGGAGCGATGGTTCTCATTAAACTTTTCCTTGATTTGAGTCTACTGGGAGGAGGCTGCTAGCCATGCAGTGGGTGGCTTTCACAGTGTTCAACCTTATTTCTCTCACAGTTAGAAGCACCTTCCTGTCACACATCGGGGGGCGGGGGGGGGGGGCGGGCGGGAATCCAGCTAGCTTATAGCGTCTATCAACAGGTGAAGGTTGGAGACATTCTGTGATTATTCTGCATGTTTCATTCAATGCTATATTCACCTGCTCCGTATGAACAGACTTATGCCAAACAGAGCAGGCGTACTCGGCAGTTGAGTAAGACAAGGCCAGGGCTGATGTTTTTATTAATTTTTGATCTGCTCCCCAAAATGTATGTATCCCTATCTCTTACAAGGGGTTGGTTTAACCTCCAGTTTGCTTGTAAAACTGAATTACTGTGTCACGAAATGACAATGTCTAAACAAATTCGCTGCCAACATGAAATGTCGGGAAAGCTCTGCCCTAGACACTAATGTATAAGTCTAGATATCTTTGTAACTCCCAGCATTCCTGGGATCCTGGGCATTAGAGACCAAACCAGTCTGGAAGACTTCTGAGTCAGATGTAGAAGCAGATGATGCAAACTCAACTCTTTCACTTTGTTCAGACGTCAAGATGAGCCATGGCTTCCAGTTTCTGTCTCAAATCAAAAAGCATTGTTTTTTCCCCCTTGACTTATATATTTTGGCCTTTTTGAACCATAGTATATTGTGACAAATGAACTCACAACCATGATTTGTTTCTGGCTTGTTTTCCCAGCTGTTCACCTTGGAACAGGAACAGGAAATGTATTGTCGAAGGCTTTCATGGCCGGAATCACTGGGTTGTTGTAGGTTTTTTCGGGCTATATGGCCATGGTCTAGAGGCATTCTCTCCTGACGTTTCGCCTGCATCTATGGCAGCATCCACAGATATATAAACCCCTTTTCCTAGTTCCACAGACCTCACTACCTCTGGGGATGCTTGCCATAGATGCAGGCGAAACGTCAGGAGAAATGCCTCTAGAACATGGCCATATAGCCTGAAAAAACCTATAACAACCCAGGATCTGAAAACTTTCCCAAAGAGCAAATAAAAATAATTCAGAAATAGGGAGGACATCGTTTATTCATTTGGCAGACAATCAATGGAAACCATTACTTATTTTGATGTACAGACATGCCCAATTTTGAAGATATCTGTATCTTTGCAAAAGAAACATCAGACTGTAGATGTAAGCCAAGTCTAGGTCGGAATATTTCTCACTTCAGTTTTTACAGAGCATACACTGCAAGACTATTTACACTTTACCCTTCCTTTCAATTGGTTTTGGAATGGTTTGTTCCCCCCCCCCCCCCGCTGTAAGCTTTCTATGATATATTGATGGGAGGCGTTAAATAATCAAAGGAAGGTGACAATAATTTAAGGCACAGTTCAATTTTCACTTAAAGATGGCTCGTAACTCTTTCCGTTGGTACCATCTTTACAATAGTATCGATCCGTTTCATTTCTGTAGGGGAGTCGTGGAGAGAAAACCCATTTATCGGGCTTTCAAAATCAACAAATAATGGGTCACGGAGCAAACAAATAATAATTCCATTTGTGATTGAAGTTCAAGCAATAAAATACGGCTCTGAATCGAGAAGACTGCCTTTGTTACAAGTGCCATTTAAGACCATCTTTTTTGCAAGGTTGTGTACAAGCCCACTAAAAACAGATTGTTTAAAAAGTCATTTTCCTCTTATTTTTAAAACAAACAAAGCAAAAAAGATTAGTGCTTAAAGTCTTCCTTTGGGCGCAACTGTACTATAGAATTAATTCAGTTTGAAACTGCTTTAACTACAATGACTGATGGTATGGAATCCTGGGAAGTGTTGTTTGTGGGGCAACAGCACTCTTTGGTAGAGAAGACTAAACGTCTTGTAGAAGTATAGCTCCCCGGATCCCACAGCATTTAGCCATGGGAGTTAAAGTGGTGTCAAAGTGCATTCATTCTAGAGTGTAGGTGCATCTCAGGTCACAAGTTTTCGATCCACTGTTGTTGTGATACTTTATTTTCCATGCATTCTTCCTCCATGATTTTGTCTATGCCTTGCTGAGGATGTTGGTATGGGAAATTAAGCTGGGAGGAGGGAACAAGCTTGTTTACTGCTGCCCTAGAGACTTGGACGTGGAACAATGGCTTCAAACTACAAGAAAGGATATTCCATCTGAACATTAGGAAGAACTTCCTGACTGTGAGAGCTGTTCAGCAGTGGAACTCTCTGCCCCAGAGTGTGGTGGAGGCTCCTTCTTTGGAGGCTTTTAAACAGAGGTTGGATGGTCATCTGTCGGGGGTGCTTTGAATGCAATTTTCCTTCTTCTCGGCAGGGGGTTGGACTGGATGGCCCATGAGGTCTCTTCCAACTTTATGATTCTACGTAGGACCATATCACATTGGCTATCCTTCGTTTTTGGGACCCTTTGCACGCGATTCCAAATGCTGGGTCCTATCAAATGATGTTTGTCCCCATCCGTCAACAACCTGTTGGAATCGGTCTGCAAACCGTCTCAGAAATGCAGCATTTCCACATAGGATTCTAATTGTATTTTTTTTTAAAATTAATTAAACTGGGCCAGAGTGCAGAGAGAGGGGAGCAGAAGACAGTTCCACCTTGTTTTCTGTGCTATTCTAATAATATAATGTAATATAATATAATATATTGTATATACATATAATATTTATAATATTATAATGTGATCGGATATAATACTACTAATTATATATTATAATTATATGTTTATATTACATGTAATATTACTAATAATATTACAATATAATGGTATAGTGCAATATAGTAATATTTAATATTGATATTGTACTATGCTAATAATATAATATAGTGTATGTATATATATCTTGTAAGCCGCTCTGAGTCCCCTTCAGGGTCAGAAGGGCGGCATATAAATGTTGTAAATAAATAAATGGTTCCAAGGCATTGTTCTTATGTGTGATAGTGTTGTTGTTAGTGTTGTTGTTGTTACTATTATTATTACCCTGCAAAGGAGACGCAAAGCAGCTTACATTATAAGCATACATAAATCTACAAACAGTAAGACAGAATTAAATATCAATTCAATATTATATTATATATCAATATTAAAAATTCACAGTTAACATCCATAAAAAACTGAATAAAAACATAGTAAAACCAGTATACATCCCATCAGCTGTACCTCCTTTGGGGGCTGATTCTTTTGGCCCCAGGATTATTCTTTGTGACAGAAGCAGCCGCCATTTCTCTTTTGGTGTTTGCTGGGGAAAGACCTCTGGAATTAGCAAACTGGTTACTGATAATCTTCTTTTTATTTTATTTTTCTTAGTTTTCACTGAAATCTGCGCAATTTCATCCTCTGTTGTATCATTGCATCAGGGAAACATATTCCTGCACAGATGTAATTGTCAAAAATCTTGCAGACTTCCAATGAGTGTCATTGCACAACCTTAGGAAAAAATAATTAAAAAGTGATGTATGGAGGCATTAGAACAGATTGGGAGGAGCCAGCCTTCCATGTTGTGATGAGTCAAAGTGCTGTATTTTCAAAAGATAGGTATGATGGGTTTGTATGCATCCCATCTGAATACAGTCCTTAAAAACAACGGGATGTATTCTGATTTAGGTGTTTCTGATGTCAATTTGATGAACTCCATAGATGGAGAGAAACTAGAATGAATCAACACTGTCAAATGAATGCAATTTGACACCACTTTAACTGTTAGGGCTCAATGAGATGGAGTCCAAGGTCAACACAGTAATCAATCAGCCAAGCAAGGATGAGACAAGAGGGTATTTATTTATTTATTATTTATTTACCATATTTATATACCGCCATTCTCAGCCCAGAGGCGACTCAGGGCGGTTTACAAACGGCAAAATTCAATGCCCCCAATAACATAAAATATAATTAAAACATTAACATATAATATAAATCATATAAAACAATAAAGGCAGTAAAAACAATAAAACACAAGTCCTCAACGTCTCATTACTAAAATCATTTCCAGTCGCATCGTCTAATCATTCCATGGATCTAAAATAGCTTGTTACACTGCATCTGCAAATGCTTGCTCAAAAAGCCAGGTTTTGACTCTCTTTGTTAGGAGGGAGGGGGCTGATCTACTATCCCTAGGGAGGGTGTTCCATTGCCGAGGGGCCACTGCTGAGAAGGCCCTGTCTCTCGTTCCCGCCAGTCGCATCTGCGAAGGAAGCGGGACCAAGAATAGGGCCTCTCCAGATGATCTTAAAGACCTAGATGATTCATAGGGAGAGATGCGTCCAGATAGGTAAGCTGGGCCGGAACCATTTAGGGCTTCAAAAGTTAAAGCCAGCACTTTGAATTGTGCCCAGTATCAAACTGGCAGCCAGTGGAGTTGGCGCAACAGAGGGATTGTACGCTCCCTGGGCGCCACTCCTGTTAATAATCTGGCTGCCACCTGTTGGACCATTTGAAGGTCCGAGCAGTCTTCAAGGGTAGCCCCACGGGCAAGCCATAAGTCCGTTATAATATTCCAAAGCCAAGTTATCACACCAACACAGTTTCCAGGAATAGTCCACAATCCACAATTCAAGGTATAGTCTGTCTTTCCACGGTTCAAGGCACAAGACACGATGCTCAAGGCTGCAGCGCCAAAACCGATGTTGCCACCAGCAACTAACTATTTCAAACTTATTATTTATGCAATGCTCCCACCAGCTGGCTCTCTTCTCAGCCAAACAACTAGATCTCCGCACTTTAATCGCATCTGTCCTTAATTCTAGCCAGGCTGGAATACTTAACCCCTGGTCTCTCAAGATCCCGATCCTGTCCTTGCTGTGAGCCCAGAGGAGTGGTAAGTCTTTTATTGTCCACTTGGGGTTGCTGTTGTTCCTGCTTCAAAGTGGTGGCCTTTTCGGTGTCTAGAAGCACCTTCTCTTGCTCTGCATTCGATCCCAACTCGAAGGCTGGGAGAAGTAATCCTTCCTTGTTGTCGGCACCAACTGTGACACTTGTCGAACTTCAACTCTCTGGATGTCATGACATTAATCTATGGGTGTTCAAGTGATGCTAAACTGCATTCATTCTACAACATAGATGCACCCTATGAAAAGCATCCCTTTGAGCAAGTCTTTGTCCCCAGGTGGTTGAGTTCCTGAGCCAGCTGGTCATCGACTACCCAGAGGTGAAGCGCTGGGTCTTCAAAGCAGACCACTACTTTGGCGGGAACGGGACAGCCTTCTGCGACGTCACGGCACACCTCCGGTGCTACCCTTGGGTCCTGAAGGAGAGGCATCGCTATGGCCCCGAGATATGGAAGAAGAGCTGGGCACACGTGAGTCTTTGCCAGGCTCTCTGACTCGTAGTACATTTAACCTTTTCCGCTTTACGTCTCATTTTTAATCATGTGTGCCATTTTCAGTACACTTAGTTTTATGATGACAGCGTGCCGTGAAGGATGAGACCAATGTTAACCTTGTGGTCACAGAAAAATAACAAGACGCATGCAAATTCCTGCAGAGGTCTTTACAAAAATACCATCAGTAGCCAAACCTCTCAAATTGTGGGGAAAATGTGGCTCATGGACTTTACTTTTAGGGACACAATTTCCATCAGTTTCCCCAAACCCCACAATGTAATTTGAGGTCACCCCCACCCCCACACACACATAAGCCATGTAGAAAACCCTCCAATAGCTGAAAACACCTGTAAACATCCTTATCTCCTCCAGGTACATCCCAGAATCCATACTACCCTCAATACTAATTCTAGTTTCATATTTACCTTTGATATGTTTTGAACTATATCACCTTTAAATTTTGCCCTGAAACATACTGGCAACAGACCTTTTAAGCTATTTGATACAGGTCACCTCAAAGTACGAAGTGTGATCAGTTATATTTTACTTGGTGTTGTTGTTTATCCATTCAGTCGTTTCCGACTCTTCATGACCTCATGGACCAGTCCACTTGGTAGCAATTTGAAATACCTTGATGCTCAGGTGTCGGTGGCGGCCAGGAGGGCCTTTGCATAACTCAAACTTGTGTAGCAGCTGCGACCATACCTCGTGAAGTCTGATTTTCCCAGGGTGGTCCATGCCTTGGTTACATCCAGATTGGACAATGTGCTCTATGTGGGGCTGCCCTTGAAGACGGCCTGGAAATTGCAGCCAGGCTCCTTACTAGAGCAAATTATCGGGAGCATACAGTGCCGCTATTAAAACAGCTTCATTTATTTATTTATTTATTTATTTACTGTACTTGTATACCGCTGTTTCTCAGCCTAGCTGGCGACTCAATGCGGTTTACAACAAAATACCAAATACAATAGTCAACAGTATACAATTTAAAACCATAAAAACATAATACACAATATTGGTACATCAATAACAATCCAATGCATCTCCTGACTAAAATCGTGATCCAGTTTCGTTGTCCATATTACCAATCCTTTAATCATCACATTCATTGCACCGAATTAACCAAATGCCTGTCCGAACATCCAGGTTTTTAATCTTCTTCGGAACACCATCAGCGAGGGGGCTGATCTTACCTCCATGGGAAGGGCGTTCCATAGTCGAGGGGCCACCACAGAAAAGGCCCCGTCTCTCGTCCCCGCCAGCCGCACCTGATAAGTTACCGCTCCCGATAAGTTGCCAAGCCAAATTAAAGGTGCAGGTAATGACCTATAAAGCCCTAAATGGTTTGGACCCCACTTATCTTTGCGATCGCATATCCATCTATGAACCGGCGCGAACTCTAAGATCCTCCGGTGAGGCCCTCCTTTTGCTCCCACCTCCGTCACAAGCACGGTTGGTGAGGACGAGAGAGAAGGCCTTCTAGATGGTGGCCCCCTGGCTCTGGAACACCCTTCCAAGGGAAATAAGGCAAGCCCCATCCCCTCTTTAGTAAGAGTTTGAAGACTTGGTGGTTTCAACAAATCTTCGAGAGTGACCAGTGCTAGCTCAGCCCAGACACTGTCCGGACACGACCTAGCCCCCTATATATTACCCTGGTCATTCTCCTAACAGGCCCTGGAAATAGCCTGTCCCTGCTTTTGTTGTTTACCTATTACAGTACTGTACCCAAATGCCAGTCCCATCTTATTTCAATTTGTATCAGTCCTGACCCAGACTTTTTAATTGTCTTGACCCAATCCTTTTCCATGCCCTAACAAATAGACATGAAGAGCAGGCAGGATTTTTTCTTTTAATATTTATGTGTTGTTGGGTAATTCCATGCTTATGTTGCTGTTACTGTTATTTTTTGTTCATGTTGCAACTCTGTATGTTTTGATGTTGTTGCTTGGAAACCGCCCTGAGTCCTCCCGGGGAGATAGAGCAGTATATAAATAAAGTATTATTATTATTATTATTATTAAGGAGACCCCATTGGCACAGTGGGCTAAAGCACTGAGCTGCTGAGCTTGTTGACCGAAAGGTCGCTGGTTCGAATCCGAGGAGCAGCGTGAGCTTCCGCTGTCAGCTCCAGCTTCTGCCAACCTAGCAGTTCGAAAACATGCAAATATGAGTAGATCAGTAGATACTGCTTCGGCGGGAAGGTAATGGCGCTCCATGCAGTCATGCCGGCCACTTGACCTAGGAGGTGTCTATGGACAACGCCGGCTCTTCGGCTTAGAAATGGAGATGAGCACCACACACCAGAGTCGAACACGACTGGACTTAATATCAGGGGACAACTTTTACCTTTATCTTATTATTATTTGAAACACAACAAGATGAGTCCACAGCAGACACTCTGCTGGCTGTTGTATTGGATCACACGTCGGACACTTCCCAAGGGTCTAGAACTGTGTGATGTATCGGTGAATAATGCGTGCAGATCCCAGTAAGTTGGCCTTCTGCAGCTGGCAGATGGTAATTTTGTCAGCGCTGATTGTGTTTAAGTGCAGGCCAAGGTCTTTAGGCACTGCACCCAGTGTGCCGATCACCACTGGGACCACCTTTACTGGTTTGTGCCAGAGTCTTTGCAGTTCAATTTTTAAATCCTCATATCGTGTCAGCTTTTCCAGTTGTTTCTCTGCATTCCTGCTGTCACCTGGGATTGCAACATCGACAATCCATACTTTGTTTTTTAACACGATTGTGAGGTCAGGAGTATTATGCTCCAAAACTCTCTCTGTCTAACTTCGGAAGTCCTAGAGGAGTTTGACATGTTCATTCTCTGTAACTTTTTCCGGCTTGTGATCCCACCAATTTTTTGTCGCAGGCAGAGGGTATTGGTGGCACAACTTCCAATGAATCATCTGAGCAACGGTGTTATGCCTCTGCTTATAGTCTGTCTGCATGATCTTGCAGCAGCTGAGGATGTGATCCATTGTTTCATCTGCTTCCTTGCAGAGTCTACACTTGAGATCTGTCGTTGACTTTTCAATTCTGGCTTTGATGGCATTGGTTCGAATGGCTTGTTCTTGGGTTGCCAGAATCAGGCCCTCCTTTGTCTCCTTTTTCAGAGTTCATTTGTGAGCCACAGCCATGTTTTTTCTTTGTCAATTTGGCTCTCAATTTTTCCCAGGAACTGTCCGTGGAGAGCCTTCTTTCGCCAGTTTTCTTCTCTGTATTGTATTCTTTTGCTTGTTTTCTCTTCTGCTTTGGATTGTGTTTTTACAGTAATCCCTCTTTGTCATTATTATTATTATTATTATTATTATTATTATTATTATTATTATTACCTTGCCTGACATAACCTATGCATATATCATATTGCAGCCTGCATTACAGGATAGAAAACAGTCTGCGCAAGTTAGAGAAATCCTTATTTCTTTTATGAAGGTTATCTGTTGAGCCTTCCTAGCAGTCTGTTATCCCAACTGAAGCTTTCCTGATGCATCCCTTCATTGCAAGCTGGCGCTCTCGTTGAAGCCCCACCTTGTGTAGAACTGGGACATTGCAACGGATTTGGTCTGAAAACCAATCAAGCTTTCAATCAGCCTGTCCTAGATGTTTCTTTTCCCCCTTTTCTCCTGGCCTCGATAGCTGCCCTACTTGGATTATCATATTCCTACAGGGGGGAAAGCACATTTACAATAGGGCCAGGCAAATTTTGGGGCACTGTTTTTGGACTGCTAGCTAGAAATGCTTCCAAAGGTTGCTGTAAGTTTTTCGGGCTGTATGACCATGTTCCAGAAGTATTCTCTCCTGATGTTTTGCCTGCGTCTATGGCAGGCATCCTCAGAGGTTGTGACCTCACAAACTCTGAGGATGCCTGCCATAGATGCAGGCGAAACATTAGGAGATAACATCAGAATTCAAAACGATCTTGACAGATTAGAAAAATGGGCCAAAACTAACAAAATAACGTTCAACAGTGACAAATGCAAGATACTCCACTTAGGCAGAAAAAACGAAATGAAAAAAGATACAGAATGTGGGACAATGCCTGGCTCGAGAACAGTACGTGTGAAAAAGATCTTGGAGTCCTCGTGGACAACAAGTTAAACATGAGCCAACAATGTGATGTGGCGGCAAAAAAAGCTAATGGTATTTTGGCCTGCATCAAGAGGAGCATAGTGTCTAGATCCTGCCTTGGTTAGACCACATCTGGAATATTGTGTTCAATTCTGGGCACCACAATTCAAGAGAGATATTGAGAAGCTGGAATGTGTCCAGAGGAGGGTGACTAAAATGATCAAGGGTCTGGAGAACAAGCCCTCTGTGGAGCGGCTTAAAGAGCTGGGCATGTTTAGCCTGAAGAAGAGAAGGCTGAGAGGAGATATGATAGCCATGTATAAATATGTGAGAGGAAGTCACGGGGAGGAGGGAGCAAGCTTATTTTCTGCTTCCCTGGAGACTAGGACGCGGAACAATGGCTTCAAACTACAAGAAAGGAGATTCCATCTGAACATTAGGAAGAACTTCCTGACTGTGAGAGCCATTCAGCAGTGGAACTCTCTGCCCCAGAGTATGGTGGAGGCCCCTTCTTTGGAAGGTTTTAACAGAGGCTGGATGGCCGTCTGTCAGGGGTGCTTTGAATGCAATATTCCTGCTCTTGGCAGGGGGTTGGACTGGATGGCCCATGAGGTCTCTTCCAACTCTATGATTCTATGAACCCAGTGATTCTGGCCATGCAAGCCTTCGACAACAAGAATGCTTCCAAAGGCTTAGAACCAAGTAAGGAGTTGCTTTTTGGGGCCCAGTTGCCTCTGGAGAAAAGAGCTTAGAAAACATAAGTCTATGGGTGCATCTACACTGTAGAATGAATGCAGTTTGACACCACTTTCAATACCATGGCTTCATGCTAGGGAATCGTAGCCATTGCACGGCTCTCTTTGGCAGAGGGGGTGAAAGACCTTGCAAATCTGTACCTTCCAGGTTTC